TATTTCTTTTGGAGATGATCGCATAATATTTAGGGGTTGAAATGGACCAAAAACTGAAAAATTTCCTGATTTTGCAGTTGCTCTACAGGTCACAGTTATAGACCAATCGAAGCGAAAGTTAGCATGTGCTTTGCAGAAGCCTTCCAATTTTGATGGTCATTTTCCATTAAACCGCGAATATTTTTAATCCCGGCGAAATCACAAATAGACGAACCGGTCAATTCTGACCGTTACGTAGATGCCGATAGTAAAAATATCGGATATATATGGCGAAATATATAAAATGTATATATACAAAGGAAGGGGATGTTAAGGGGATTTTTGCACTTTACAACACAGGTCGAGGTTATTATTTATATACAGATTGCAATTATCGTCCGATCCTCACGAATTTTTTTACAAAGGTAGGGTTAGGCTCAGAAGGTCTAAGCCTATTGTTTTCAAAGATGTCCGCAATATATTTAGGGTTGAAATGGACCACCAACTCAAACTGTTCCTGATTTTGCAGCCGTTATAAAGGTCACAAATAGAAACCAAAGGACGCGAAATCTTTCATGAAGTTAGAGTTTAAGACAGCGGGTAGAATGGACCACTACTTTTGTGTGACAAAAATAGCAACATTACTTACAGGCGATATCCGAAATACACAATAGGCGAACTACTGGCTTTTTTATGCTGACTTCGTTGACGAATATAGCCAAATATCATAGACAAGCCAATCGTATAGATGAGTCTAAATTTGTAGATGCAGAGCGGGTTCTTGCTTTTGGAGGTGATCGCAAAATATTAAGGGGCTAAAATTAACCAAAAAACAGCAAAAACTCCTGATCACACAATTGAAGCCAATCGACACGCCTGAGAAGGGAGTTAAGGACAGGGAAGGATTCTAGCATTTTCGATGACCATTGTATTATATTTAGCTGTAAAATGGACCACAACAACTAACAGCTCAACGGAGTGCGTAAATATTGGGCAATTATCCCTGGTCAAAATACTAAGAGTAATATCTGGGCAGTGCTCCGTGACATAATTTTAAAAGCGAAATCTTCCAAAATGGATGGAATGGACATAAGGGGGTTTCTAACATATTGTAGTGTTGTAGGGTATCACATGGTCGGCCACGCCCGACTATATCCTTTGCTTACTTGTTTAATAATTAAAATGTTTTGTCCAAGCCCAAGGATGCCTCTAAACGTGGATTTTCAAGACTATTTTTTGAAGCCTAGAAGACTTTTAGATACCTACTGTGAATAGTCTTATAGAGCCATCTGCATCCAGAATTTTGTAGGAAAGTATTTTCAAGGCCTAAAGAATTGGATGCCTTGATACGTGGATACGAGGATTTTGAAAAATAATTTTTAAAGCCCTGACAGACCCCTAGGCATGGATTTTTTAATTTTTTGATAAATACAATATTTTGTCCTCTTAACGTGGATTTTCATGACTATTTTTGGAAGACTAAAAGATTTCTAGATATCTACCGTGAAAGACTCAGAGCCACCTGCATTCAGGATTTTTTCGGAATATATTTTCAAGGTGTAAAAGAGGTCTACATGTGGATTTTAAAGAATTTTCCATGCCCTAAAAGACATGTGGAAGGGGATTTCTAAGAATATTATTTAAGCCCTATTGAACGTTCTTCCAAGCCCTTGGAAATATGGATATTTTTAATATAATTCTTTAAGTTATTGGAGATTTGGCAATTTTATATTTTTTATGATTTTTATAAAACCAGAAAACTGAACATTGGCTGGTCCTTAGATTTTTTTTGAAAGTTTCACAATAAGTTTTTGGTTGGTTTCCCATACTTACACCTCATTACTTGGCTCCACACAATGTCCTGCGGTAAGGACATATTGATTTGTGATCAATGTCCCGGCACAGCGAAAACGCTGCCTAGATTTTTTCCATCCTCTCGATTCCAACAACACCATCCAAGGATATTCTGAAAGTCTGACAATTTCTCCATTTGCTATGCGATCACCATTCAAATGTCCGCAAGGCATTGAACGTAGAATACGTTCACCCGGCGGAGCTTGGAGATAATTCACCGCGGGACGATGATGGAATCGTGCTGGTGGTGAGTTCGGGGCAACTGCCGCCTCGCCATTTGTCAACACCTGAGAGCCACTGTGATAGGGATAATGGGGATTATGAACCATGGACGGCGAAGGTGATGGCCTGGCCAATTGTCCGGGAAACTGTAGAGGCCGAGGTGGAGGGACGTGATGATGCTGATGTAAGTGCAAATGATGCTGCTGCAAATTGCTATCGTTGACATCATAGAAAGCACAGCAGGCGTAATGCTGTTTAGAATAGAAAATAGAATGGAGAATATTAGAAAGTGTGTTTTTATTTTCAAACTTGACATTCATCATTGTTTATTGTTTGTTAATTTATTTTTTTTTTATTTATTGAATACTAACCACATTCGCCCGAGTGCCACAATGACTTTGACGTATGTAGCGTGTAATGTGCTCAGGATAGGGTGGTGACCAATTCTGGACAAGCCATTCAATGCGACGACACTTGGCCATTGGAACACAATAGCCTTGGGTGTAGTCGGGGGTAAAACAGCCTGAAATGTAAAAGAAAAATTAAGAAATTTTCTCATTTTTTCTCAAATTTAAATAAATCCATTTTTTTTTTTGAAATATCCCATATTTGAATGAAAATAAAAATAAATAAATAAAATAACTTTTTAAAATTCAATTTAAAAATCTGTAATTAAATTTGATATTGTCCTCTTGTTCTTCTGTGGGACCATATATTTGTTCAAAATTCTTCTTCACTTCAACCTACTTGTATAGGCATTGGGGGCAACACCATTTGTTTGTCCAAATATCGGGGTAATACAAATACTATGGACTACTAAGGCCATAAGCCAGGTCTGGAGGAATTCCTGGAATTCCATTTTAATGTTTATTTTCTTAATTGTTTATTATTATTTTTTTCCAAAATAAATTTCACTATTTTATGTGCAAATATTTTATTTCTTGTCCACACATGCGAATCGACAAGAGTTTGACCAACAACTGATAAGACGGACCACAAAATTGATGTGAATCTCTATTTTTGTATTCTTAGATTTAAGAGATCTTGAGGTAAAGATTTAAATTAAATAGAAGAGGTTGATTTTAAGAGAACAAGGTTAAGAGTGTATGGTTATGTGGGGGATTTACAAAAACACTGTGCAAAAAAAAATAATAATAATAATAATAATAATAATAATAATCATAATAATAATAATAATAATAATAATAATAATAATAATAATAATAATAACAACAACAATAATAATAATAATAATAATAATAATAATAATAATAATAATAATAATAATAATAATAATAATAATAATAATAATAATAATAATAATAATAATAATAATAATATTACTACTACTAATAATAATAATACTAATAATAATAATAATAATAATAATAATAATAATAATAATAATAATAATAATAATAATAATAATAATAATAATAATAATAATAATAATAATAATAATAATAATAATAATAATAATAATAATAATAATAATAATTGCCGCTCCCTTCAACCCTAAGTATCTATTTGGCCACGCCCACTTCTTTAAATCCATATGTATAAAAAATAGCATAAACAAGTAAAAAAACATTATGTTCGATCGGGACGAACTTTAAATACCCTTTTGCATAATGCAGTTAAACTTATCAACAAACCATCAAGTGCGTGAGGCTGTTATATGGGGACATACAAAAATGAGAGCCTTTATAGACAATTTTTTACTTCAAGGATTGCCATCTATTAAATCTTTTAAAATAAAAATGATGCCGCTATTGTTTACCTCTAATTTAACAAATTTCCATTTTTAGTCAAAATCTCCTTTAATTCTTTTCTATTTGGGGAAAGTTTTAAAGAAAGACATATTCTACACAAAATTTCACTATAAGTCTCAGAATAAACAATATATCTGGGTATAATTGTTTTTAAGAAAATGATGTTCGAAATTTATATATTACCAGAAAAAATTATGTCTTTATGTTTACTTCTTGTCTAACACTTTTCCATTCTAAGTCAAAATCTCCCTTAATACCTCAGTTTTTGTGGAAAATGTCAAAGGAAGAAATATTCTAGATCAAATTTCATTGTGAGTTTCCTAACAAAAGAAATTTATATACTTAATATATACTATATAAAAAATTTATAATTTTTTTTTATTTTCGACAATTTTAGCATTTTTGCTTCCAAATGGAGGAGAGTATTAAAAGTTCGGCCCGGTCCGACTCGGAACTTAACTACTTTTTTACTTGTTAGTTCTACTTTCATAATCTGCTGGTCCTATTCTGTATTTTTCGCACAGTGTAAATAGTTTCCCGAATATTTTCTTCTTTATATTGAAGAGCTCTTAAATAGAGAGTCCTTAAAAGGTGTTCTATGAAAATTGGACTTCTTAATTTCTATGTTAAGATGATTTATCTAATAATACTTTTTCCGGAGAAGACGTTCCAAAGGGCCTATGATTTCTAGAAAAAATATTTATAAAAAAACATCTCAAAATATCTTCTATATTTAGAATAAAGATCAAGAGGTCTTCTAAGCATGTACGACCTTCCAAAGAGTTTCTGCTTCTAAAGGAAATTTCTTTGGCCAATAATTGCTTGAATTTAATTACTCCTTATTCTATTTATTCTTTTTATTAATTTTATTAAATTATTCCTCACTTTATTTATCACAAAACTCATTAATTTTAAATAAATATAAAACTTCTCTAAAAATAAACCATTTCATTAATGAACGCCTAAAAGTATGCTTTGAATTATTGATTTCACTAACCTCTCAATAAACAAGCAAATCTAATTGAGTATTTTCCTTTAATTTAATAACAAATTTTGTCCACAAACTTATCAAAAATGCCAATGGCTGTTTAATTGACTGACGCCAGCTCCCTCCACCCCTCCCCCCAGAAAGTAACGCAAAAACTGTTAAAAAAGAATCAACCTATAGACATGGATCAATCAAGTACTGATGATGAAGAAGAAGCCAATTATAAATGCTGATCACAAATAATGGAACGTTGTGATTCGTTGCCATCCCATTGGCATACCAATGAGTTATGGTGACCACCGTTGACTCTGGACAGCAGACAGGTGGGCCGGTAAACTTTCTTTGGTAGTTGTGAATAAAAGCCGTGGTCAGTTGCAGACTTCAGCTGCAAGTCAACGGTTGGAACAAAGAAATTGAAAACAAAAATTTTTTGGAATTAAAAAAAAAAAAAAAATTAAAAAAATTCAATTGAAATTAAAAGTAAAAGTGAGAGAAATTGAAAAGAAGAAGTGAATATGAAATTTTGGAAATGGAAATGTTTTGGGGTGTTAATTTTGATATTGGTGATGCCATGCCTGGTAATGGCTATAACAGCCACAGTGGAAAAGGATAAAATATCTTCTAGTGAGGAAGCTGAGATTCCAGAGGAGCCGGTAAAACCACCCACTGTACTGGGACTGGAGCCGGAGCAGAAAACACAGGAACCTTTAATTGATGTGAACTTGAAGAAGAAATCCTCCTTGGCTGGCCTTCCAATGGACCTGACCCTCTCCAATATGACCAAACTGTATTGGGGTTTCAATAATGTTTTTGGAGGCTCCGCAGGAGCAGGAGCAGGAGGAGGATCAGGCAAACCATCCAAACCCTTGGTAGCCAATTACAATGATGTTCCCGTTGTGGAAGATGAAAGCAGTTTTGGTGGCTTCGATCGTCATCCCTGTCGTCGGGTGTGTCAACAAGGCAAGTCCATGACTTGCTACTATCGCCTCATTGTCCACAACTACCAGACTCTGGGACCGGAATGCCAACGTTGCATTTATGAACCGGCCACCTGTGAGGCGGAAAAATGTGTCTATGGTGATGGGGTGCCCAATGAAATAATGGCCGTTAATCGTCAATGGCCGGCGCCACCCTTGGAGGTGTGTGAAGGTGACACCATTGTGGCAGATGTTATCAACTATTTGACCGAGGAGACCACCATGCATTGGCACGGATTGCATATGGCCCAGACACCGGATATGGATGGGGCGCCCTATATTACCCAATACCCTATTTCTCCGGGAGAGGTGCAACGTTATACCTTCCCTGTGGATCGCAGTGGCAGTAATTGGTATCACAGCCACTATGGGTCACAAAGAGCCCATGGAGTGGCAGGATCGCTGGTCATACGTCAGACCAAGGAGAATAATCGCCATGCCAATCTCTATGATTATGATTTGATTGAACATACGCTGGTTATTCAGGATGTGGTGTACAATGGCGATTTGACTCGACCTCGCAATATTGTTATCAATGGCAAGGGTAGGAACCATTTGAACTCATGGGCCGACAATGATTCCCGTCATCGTTACGAACGTCTCAATGTCTCACCGGGTATGCGTTATCGCATGCGTGTCATTAGCAATGGTGTCTTCAATTGTCCCCTGGAATTCTCCATTGAAAATCATCGCCTGCTCATGGTTTCCACCGATGGCAATGATCTGCAGCCGGTGTATGCAGATAAATTCTTTATGACCTCAGCGGAGAGATTTGATTTCATTTTGCAGGCCAATCAATATCCCGGCAATTATTGGATAAGGGTCAAGGGTTACAATGACTGTGAGAATTTGAATTTATATCAGGGAGCTGTATTGCATTACCGGGGCTCATCTCGCAGCCGGCTGCCAGAGAGGCAAATATCCGATGATCTGAATCAGGCGAATGAACTGAAAGCCTTACCCGCGAACTCCATTATTGGTGTGAATGTTATGGCTGAGTTGATAACTCCGGATAGGAAACGTGAACGTGCGGATGTACCCACATTGGGCCTGTCATCGCTGACACCACTCTCCTGGCCACCGTATACGAAATTTTTAACGTATTACTCAAGTTTTGGGGCCTTGCGTCTGGACAACGAAGCCTTTCTGCAGGTGGATGACATCACCTTTGCCTATCCCACGGTGTCGTTGCTACAGGGACGCCATCTATTCAATGATGATAATTATTTTTGTAATCGCACTGCTTTCTATTTGGCCGGCATCAATTGTCGTCGCACGAACTGTGAGTGTACGAATGTTATCCGAGTGCCGGCGTACAAGCCGATTGAATTGGTCGTGGCCAATTATATGAATACAACACATCCCTTCCATTCGCATGGCTATACGTTCCGTCTGGTTGGGCAGGATATTGTGGGGAACATTAACGATTTGAGAAATGTGAGTATAAAAGAAATTACTAACCGTTTTCTTTTAAATATTTTCAAAAAATTATTTTTAAAAAATCCACGTATCTTTAGGGGCCTTAAAAAATTATTTTTAAAAAATCCACGTATCTTTAGGGGCCTTAAAAAATTATTTTTAAAAAATCCACGTATCTTTAGGGGCCTTAAAAAATTATTTTTAAAAAATCCACGTATCTTTAGGGGCCTTAAAAAATTATTTTTAAAAAATCCACGTATCTTTAGGGGCCTTAAAAAATTATTTTTAAAAAATCCACGTATCTTTAGGGGCCTTAAAAAATTATTTTTAAAAAATCCACGTATCTTTAGGGGCCTTAAAAAATTGTTTTTAAAAAATCCACGTATCTTTAGGGGCCTTAAAAATTGTTTTTAAAAAATCCACGTATCTTAAGGAGCTTTAGAAAAATATTTTTAAAAAATCTACGTATCTGTAGAGGTCTTAAAAAATTATTTTTAAAAATCCAGGTATATTTAGGGGCCTTAAAAAATTACTTTAAAAAAATCCACGTATCTTAAGGAGCTTTAGAAAAATATTTTTAAAAAATCTACGTATCTGTAGAGGTCTTAAAAAATTATTTTTAAAAATCCAGGTATATTTAGGGGCCTTAAAAATTACTTTAAAAAAATCCACGTATCTTAAGGAGCTTTAGAAAAATATTTTTAAAAAATCTACGTATCTGTAGAGGTCTTAAAAAATTATTTTTAAGAAATCCACGTATATATAGAGGTCTTAATTTTTTTTTTAAATCCACGTATCTATAGATGCCTTAAAAATTATTTTTAAAAAATCCACGTATCTTAAGGGGCCTTAAAAATTATTTTTAAAAAATCCACGTATCTTAAGGGGCCTTAAAAATTATTTTTAAAAAATCCACGTTGTGAAAGGAATTTAAAAAAATATTTTTTTTTTTAAATCCACGTATCTATAGAAGTCTTAAAAATTATTTTTAAAAAATCCACGTTTCTATAGAGGCCTTAAAAACTTATTTTTTCAAAAATCCATGCATCTTAAGGAGCCTTAGAAAAATATTTAAAAAAAAAACTCGTTTCTATAGAGGCGTATCTTAAGGGGCCCTAAAAATTATTTTTAAAAAATCTTCGTATTTTAAGGGGCTTTAAAAATAATCTTTAAAATACAAAAGTTGATAAAAGGCTTTAAAAAATATATTTAAAAAAATCCACGCCGCTAAAGGGTGTTTAAAAAATTAGTTTTAAAAATCCATATTCAGTAGCTCTTCAAAAAAAGCAAATAAAAAAGCTGTAAGTTCTGCCGGGCCGAAATTTGAATACCCTCTACCATTTGGAACGAATTTGGCAGTTTATAATTTATCAATTAAATCAATTAAAAATTCCGTTAAAATCTAAAAATATCGCATGTAGCCGTTATATAAGGGTCTATACGACGACGTGGACCTGCACAGGCAATTCTTCTCATGAGCCATAATCGGTGAATAATGTAGCTAAAATCATATTGGGGTTATACGAAGACGTGGACCTGCACAGCAAATTTTCTGTCATATGCTGAGTATTCATTACGAACCTCGAATACCAATTCCGGTGAATAATGTCGCTAAAATCATCAAAATGCCGGATATCGGGATCTACCGCTATATACGAAGACGTGGACCTGCAAAGACAATTTTCTGTCGTAGGCTGTAGTATCCATGAAAATACCAAATTTGAAACATTTCCGGTGAATAATGTCTCTAAAATCACCAAAATACCATTGTATGGGGGCTAGACCTACATGACCCATATTCAATACCAAAAGTCATGCAGACGCTTCATCTAGTTCGGAAGCTAGAGTGATTTCCACAGACGGACAGACGAATAGACGGACGGACTTCGCTGAATCGACATAGAATTTTATGCTGGTCAAGAATATATGTACCTTGTGGGGGTCTGAAATGTATATTTCGAGGTGTTACAAACGTAATGACAAACTTAATATACGCTCCATACTATGGTGGAGGGAATAAAAAGGAAATCCTCGTATATAGTTGTCTTTCAAAACAACGCTTCCAATAAATGCAGGTTAATAGTTGTCTTCAAAATAATATATAAAAAAAATCCGCTTTCAGAATTTATTTAAAAATATCCAGGTTTATAGTCGCCTTTGAAATATAGTTTTTAAAAACCAACAAAATAATTCGAATCTTAGTTTTTTTTTTTTTAAATTAACCTTTATAAATTTTTATTTATTTTTTTTTTTTTACAATTCTCTTTCAGATTCAAGAATTGGATCGTCGTGGCCGCTTGAAACGTCTACCCGATGACTTCCCAGCTGTTGAAAAGGATTCGGTACAAGTTCCGCCATTGGGTTATATTATTCTACGTTTTATCAGTGATAATCCCGGTTTTTGGACCTTACACTGTCACATTGAGGGTCATGCGTTGCAGGGAATGACGGCTGTCATGAAAGTCGGAGAAAATCATCAAATCAAAAAGATAACACCGAAACTTATGTGTTAGAAGAGCAGTATGAAATTTTAACCAATTGTTAAGTTATTTATTTGTTAAATATTATATGAAGATATAAAAAATTAAATAAAGTATTAAATTTAAAAACCAAAATTAAAAAAAGGATGGTTGGATTCAAAAAAGTAAGTTTTAAAAAAAAGACGCCGTTTATAAAGTCCAAAAAAATAAGCATGAGTGTACATTTGGTATCTTTTTCTCTTTTACACCTTATGCTAAGTGAGGTTAAATCATATTATCATAAGTGTCTTGCAACCACTCAACAAAGAAAGACGTGTTGTCTTAAGAAAGATATAAATACTGGTTTACAATGGATCAGCCGACCCGGATATGTTGAATAATGAAGAATTCGCCTTAACGTCGAGGAAATTCTATCAGCCGTGCTAAAACTACTGCTGCAATTGTTCCCAGAGAGAGGATAAGAGAAGACTGTGGTGGTGTTGTACACACTTTCAGATTGGGCTTCATATCTGAGATCTTCAAGTAGAAGGGGCGAGGCTATAAGCCCATATCCCCAGGAAGACGAATCGTTTATTTGGCCGCCACTGACGAAGTTCGAGAAAAGACTTAACCATGGAAAGGACACAAGCTGATCGGAAGATCCATGTTAAAAAACTGCGAATTTGCTGCTTCTGTCTACAACACAAGGCAAACTAAAGATGGCTCAACAACAGACGGTGCCAAATGTGCAATGCAAGGTATCATACGCTGCTGCACGTGAATAGGGCTTTAACGAGAGAGAGAGAGAGAGACAAGAGATGCTTTGATTCATGCATGGATGACGGTTGAAAATAATGTAAATAGCTAGAGAAATAGTCGTGTCTTATATATATGCGCAGTTATTAGAGAAAACAAAACGTGAAATGGTGGAACTATGAGCAACAAATCTAAAGCTTGAATGTAGCCTGAAGGTTGCTGTAGATGCCAATGTTGGTCTTAAAGAAAGATTGATGTTAATGAAAGTTCTGGTTGCAGGAGACATAAAGTTAAAGGATGATGTGAATAAAAATAAACGTTGTGTTCTACAAAACCTAGCGAAGGGACTCAAGTCCGTATTGGTGGCTGAAGAGGAAAGGGCTCATGCAGTATGTGTTTAAGCAAATTGCAGCGTGAAGTCTTTGGAAGGGGAAGTAAAACTGCTTTCGGAGGGTTTCTCTTCTTGAGAGGAGGTCCGTAGAGCAGATGAAACCGAGGGTGAAGAGTTCGCTGCGAAAATACCAGAGTAGAAGACCCCATTATTGAAGTTGAAGAACTTGGTGAAGATACAGAATCAAGTCCTGAAGACTTGTAAATACTACTGCAAACCACAGAAGAATCCAAGTGGTAAAAAAAGGAAAATATTATACCCAAGTAAGAATGGCCTGCTGCAACGATAAATGATGGCTCTGCCAAAGAAGGATTACATCAAATATCAGATTAGAAAACCCAATTACTGAAGTTGAAGTACTTAGATGAGAAACAGAATCAAGTCTTAAAGACATGAAAATACTACTGTCAACCTCTGAAGAATCCAAGTGAAGAAGCAAAATTTCATATTCATGTTTAAACGGCCAACGAGATGAAGACGAAAAAGAAGGGCCGTCTAAGATTCTGAAAGAAGCTCAAATTATCAGGAAGATGAAGATACTTAGTAGAAGTGGTGCAGCCAGAAAATAACAGGTTGAAGTGGCAAGAATTTATGTACGTTTGCGATCCTGTACAAGGTCTGTAAGATGGCACTGCTGGAGAAGGATCTCACCAAATACTGAATTTGAAGTACTTGAAGGAGAAACAGAATCAAGTCCTTAAGATATGAAAGTACTACTGTCAACCACTGAAGAATCCAAGTGGGAAAAGTAGCAAAATGTCCTACTCATGTTTGAACGGCCAACGAGATGAAGACGAAAAAGGAGGGCCATCTAAAATGCTGGAATAAAAAGATGCTGAAAGAAGCTCAAGTTGTCAGGAAGATGAAAATACTTAACAGAAGTGGTGCAGCCCGAAAGAGGCAGATTGAAGTGCCAAGAAATTATGTACGTTTTCGACACTGGAACGATAAGCCGTTCAAGGTCTGTAAGATGGCGGTGCCAGAGAAGGATCTCACCAAATACCAGAGTATAAGACCCCATTACTTAAGTTGAAGTACTTGGAGAAGAAACATAATCAAGACTCGAAAGTACTACTGTCAACCACTAAAAAAACCAAGTGGCAAAAGAAGCAAAATGACATACTCATATTGGAACGGCCAAGGAGATGAAGACAAAAAAGGGTGGCCATCTACTGAAGGGAGCTCAAGTTGTTAGGAAGATGCTTACTGAAAGTGGTGCAGATAGAAATAGAGTGGCAGGAAATTATGTACGACTGCAACGTTGATAAAATAAGCTGTCCAAGGTCTGTAAGATGGCGCTGCCCGAGAAGGACGACACATGATTTGGATTCTGTCTGGAAATGAGGTGGGATCTTGAAAAGAGGCCACATTTAAAATATGGAGGTGTATCCTGGGCGCTATTACTTAATTTTTTTCTCTGATATTTTGTACAGGCCCATATTCGAAGGACCCATGGACCCATTCTAATCGACGAGGCTTGTCCGCAGGCCACATTCTTTGCGTCAATTGATTTTTGTACGGGAACAAATGCAAATCAATGCGAATAATCCGTTGTAAAGTGGACCGAGCCATGCCCAACTGCTGAGAACGGCGTTTTTGGGATGTTCTTGGGGACCTCTCAACACTGGCTCCTACGGCAGCGATATTCTCGGCCGATCACCTTGGTCAACTTTTATATGGCCTCTTCGGATTAGAAAGAGCCCTACCAGTCGAAATTTTTTCTTATAAACGCTTAATGGTGTTGTTAGAAGGCACACTTCTCACATTTTTTAATGTTTTAAAAGCACGTTGAGTTTGCACAATTGACTTCTTGTAAATTTCAACTATTTCAGAGCGTTCGCGAGGCGTGTATTGGTTCACGGTAAAAATCTGCTTGGATTGACGCTTCAAACGCGGTATGTCATTAAGCGATGTGACATCTCTGTCAAAAGTTATGGCGTTGCCAGATGGGTCCGTCGAATATGGGCAACCCTGTATGTATTTTTATCCTTGCCGAAAATTGTCGAGGATAAGTGAAAATGTTTTTATAATAAAGAAGAATAGTGGGGCCACCTAGTATATCAAGATCTCCAGAAAGTATTTTAAGCAATCCACATCTATCATAACCTTGAGAAAAAAATTTTATAGTTCGTCAAAAAAAAAAACCTTCGCCTTACAACTTATTTTCAAATTTATTCATAATCTCAATAATCGGATCATTGATAAATTTCTTGACTTCTTTGTGCAGGGAGAAGTCACCATGAGCCCATGAGGGATCTTCCATGTGATGCATGACACGATTGGGCAATTTTTCTGCCAAACGTTCAACATCTTCGACAGCAGCCATTGTGTCATTGTCACCATACCATAAATGGACTTCTGAGGTAATGCGCTCTACAGGATAATCAGGTGGTGTGAGTTGGCCATATAATTCCATGTTCTTTGTCGGTCCATAATCATAGAGACAGAAATGACCCACATAATGTATGGCCTTTTGTCCTTGACCATTCGTGGCCAGCGCGTAATCAATCATGGCAGCGATATCATAATGGCCAATTTCATGCCAACTAAAACGCCAGAAGTACGGGTGATTTGTGGACCTCGATGTGTGATTGCGACTATAGGTATTGCCACGGGCATTGCCAAACCAGACATCGTAACCAGCATCGGCTAAATTGAAACCAATTCCCGAATCTGGACCGACACACATCCAGGCATCAGAACAACTGAATAAACCATGTTGTATCAAAACGACAGGGCGTTGGGCATCTTGATTTTGTAGCTTATGGGAATAGGGAATGCGAAAGAGGGTAATAATATAGCCATCCTCGGTGGTCACCTTATGGGTTTCTGCTGGATAACCATGGGCTCGAATGCGATCCGCCTAGGATTAAAAATTTAATTAAAATTCATAAAAATATGCCTTTCACAGATTCCTTCCTACCGTGGTAATTTTGGGCCTCAATGTTAGCTGAGGTTCAGGATTTTGCAAATATCTCAAGATATCCGCAGTGGGCTGAGCACTAACAGCCGTTATTGCTGCCAGCAATGCAATCCAGAGGCACGTCTTCATGGTACGGAAATTTCTTTAAAACTGTCGAAGGCACTGGTAAACAGGTGCTATTTTGGTCTGATATAAATATATTTTTTTATCAATTATTAGCCACTTTGAATAATCTTGGTTGAACTACTGTCCTCTCGAACCAATTGCTCATGATAAGATTAAAATTTAAATACTTTCAAAAATTAAGAAATGCACAAAAATCAAAACATTTCCAAAGAAAAGGGTAGCTGAGAATTCAAAAAATAATTTTTAAAAAATCCACATTTGGGTTGGACTTCAAAAAATAATTTTTAAAAAATCCACGTTTATGTTGGTCGTCAAAATATAATTTCTAAAAAATCCACGTTAATGTTGGCCACTAAAACATAATTTTAAAAAATCCACGTTTACGTTGGTCGTCAAAAAATAATCTTGAAAAAATCCACGTTAATGTTGGCCCTCAAAAAAATAATTTTAAAAAAATCCACGTTTATTAAAGACTTGAAAAAATAATTAAAAAAAATCCACGTTTATTAAAGACTTGAAAAAATAATTTTTAAAAATCCACGTTTATTAAAGACTTGAAAAAATAATTTTTAAAAATCCACGTTTATTAAAGACTTAAAAAATAATTTAAAAAAAAATCCACGTTTATTAAAGACTTGAAAAAATAATTTTAAAAAAATCCACGATTATTAAAGACTTGAAAAAATAATTTAAAAAAAATCCACGTTTATTAAAGACTTGAAAAAATAATTTAAAAAAAATCCACGTTTATTAAAGACTTGAAAAAATAATTTAAAAAAAAATCCACGTTTATTAAAGACTTGAAAAAATAATTTTAAAAAAATCCACGTTTATTAAAGACTTGAAAAAATAATTTTAAAAAATCCACGTGTATTAAAGACTTGAAAAAATAATTTTTAAAAAATCCACGTTTATTAAAGACTTGAAAAAATAATTTTTAAAAAATCCACGTTTATGTTGGCCTTTAAAAAATAATTTTTAAAAAATCCACGTAATTTTTAAAAAATCCACGTTTATGTTGGCCTTTAAAAAATAATTTTTAAAAAATCCACGTAATTTTTAAAAAATCCACGTTTATGTTGGCCTTTAAAAAATAATTTTTAAAAAATCCACGTTTATGTTGGCCTTTAAAAAATAATTTTTAAAAAATCCACGTAATTTTTAAAAAGTCCACGTTTATGTTGGTCTTTAAAAAATAATTTTTAAAAAATCCACGTTTATGTTGGCCTTTAAAAAATAATTTTTAAAAAATCCACGTTTATGTTGGCCTTTAAAAAATAATTTTTAAAAAATCCACGTTTATGTTGGCCTTTAAAAAATAATTTTTAAAAAATCCACGTTTATGTTGGCCTTTAAAAAATAATTTTTAAAAATCCACGTTTATGTTGGCCTTTAAAAATAATTTTTAAAAAATCCACGTTTATGTCGGCCTTTAAAAAATAATTTTTAAAAAATCCACGTTTATGTTGGCCTTTAAAAAATAATTTTAAAAAAATCCACGTTTATGTTGGCCTTTAAAAAATAATTTTTAAAAAATCCACGTTTATGTTGGCCTTTAAAAAATAATTTTTAAAAAATCCACGTTTATGTTGGCCTCTAAAAAATAATTTTTAAAAAATCCACGTTTATTAAAGACTTGAAAAAATAATTTTTAAAAAATCCACGTTTATTAAAGACTTGAAAAAATAATTTTTAAAAAATCCACGTTTATTAAAGACTTGAAAAAATAATTTTTAAAAAATCCACGTTTATTAAAGACTTGAAAAAATAATTTTTAAAAAATCCACGTTTATGTTGGTCTTTAAAAAATAATTTTTAAAAAATCCACGTTTATGTTGGTCTTTAAAAAATAATTTTTAAAAAATCCACGTTATGTTGGTCTTTAAAAAATAATTTTTAAAAAATCCACGTTTATGTTGGTCTTTAAAAAATAATTTTTAAAAAATCCACGTTTATGTTGGTCTTTAAAAATAATTTTAAAAAATCCACGTTTATGTTGGTCTTTAAAAATAATTTTTAAAAAATCCACGTTTATGTTGGTCTTTAAAAAATAATTTTTAAAAAATCCACGTTTATGTTGGTCTTTAAAAAATAATTTTTAAAAAATCCACGTTTATGTTGGTCTTTAAAAATAATTTTTAAAAAATCCACGTTTATGTTGGTCTTTAAAAAATAATTTTTAAAAAATCCACGTTTATGTTGGTCTTTAAAAAATAATTTTTAAAAAATCCACGTTTATGTTGGTCTTTAAAAAATAATTTTTAAAAAATCCACGTTTATGTTGGTCTTTAAAAATAATTTTTAAAAAATCCACGTTTATGTTGGTCTTTAAAAATAATTTTTAAAAAATCCACGTTTATGTTGGTCTTAAAAAATAATTTTTAAAAAATCCACGTTTATGTTGGTCTTTAAAAATAATTTTTAAAAAATCCACGTTTATGTTGGTCTTTAAAAAATAATTTTTAAAAAATCCACGTTTATGTTGGCCTTTAAAAAATAATTTTTAAAAAATCCACGTTTATGTTGGCCTTTAAAAAATAATTTTTAAAAAATCCACCTTTATGTTGGCCTTTAAAAAATAATTTTTAAAAAATCCACGTTTATGTTGGCCTTTAAAAAATAATTTTTAAAAAATCCACGTTTATGTTGGCCTTTAAAAAATAATTTTTAAAAAATCCACGTTTATGTTGGCCTTTAAAAAATAATTTTTAAAAAATCCACGTTTATGTGGCTTCTTAAAAATAATTTTTAAAAAATCCAGATTTATGTGGCCTCTAAAAAATAATTTTTTAAAAATCCACGTTTATATTGGCCTCTAAAAAAGAATTTTTTAAAAATCCACGTTTATGTTGGCCTCTAAAAAATAATTTTTAAAAAATCCACGTTAATGTTGGCCACTAAAAAATAATTTTTAAAAAATCCACGTTTATGTTGGCCTTGAAAAAATAATTTTTAAAAAATCCACGTTTATGTTGGCCTCTAAAAAATAATTTTAAATAAAACACGTTTATGTTGGCCTCTAAAAAATAATTTTTAAAAAATCCACGTTTATGTTGGACGTGAAAAAATAATTTTAAAAAAATCCACATATATGTTTGACCTCAGAAAATAATTTTTAAAAATCCACTAAACTAATTTTACAGAAATTTCGTATATTTTCAATATATTAAAAAAAAATTAATTGCAAGTTTGCAGTGGATTAGATTTCCAATCTAATCAATTCGAGGTATCTGGAGGACTCTTGTGGCATAGATTATTCAAAGTGGGTAATATGTGATAAAGTAATATTTTTAGCAAATGGAAGTCCATCGGGGTTCCAAATTATTACTAGTTTTTTGTTTAGAAGTAGTCTCTAGAAAACTTGGACACAATGGAGAAGTATTTGTGGCTTGCATTGCTGGTGACAATTACAACTATTCGAGCTCAGCCCACTGCTGATATTTTACGCTATTTTCAAGATCCTGAACCAAATATTACACTAAGGCCCAAAATTACCACGGTAGATATGCCATAGAACTTATCAAAAATATAGATTTCTTTACACATATCTAATTTTCTTTTTTCTTAGGCCGATCGCATTGCTTCCCATGGCTATCCAGCAGAAACCCATAAAGTAGTCACCGAGGATGGTTATATTGTGACCCTTTTCCGCATTCCCTATTCCCATAAGCTACAAAATCAAAATGCCTATCGTCCGATAGTTTTGATACAGCATGGCTTATTCAGCTGTTCCGATGCCTGGATGGGTGTAGGTCCAAATGATGGCATCGGTTTCAATTTAGCCGATGCTGGGTACGATGTTTGGTTTGGCAATGCTCGTGGCACCACCTATGGTCGTAATCACACATCGAGGTCTACAAATCACCCATACTTCTGGCGTTTTAGTTGGCATGAAATTGGTCATTATGATATTGCGGCCATGATTGATTACGCCCTGGCCACAAATGGCCAAGGGCAAAAGGCCATACATTATGTGGGCCACTCACAGGGGACCACTGTGTTCTTTGCCCTGATGTCATCACGTCCCGAGTATAATGAGAAAATTAAAACCGCCCATATGTTGGCCCCCGTTGCCTTTATGAGCAACATGTCCGATAAGTTGGTGAGAACATTGGCGCCCTATCTGGGGCATCACAATACCTATTCGGCCTTTTTCGATTGTCAGGAGTTTATACCTCACAATGATCTGTTTTCCAAGTTGCTCTACAATGCCTGTGCCCCACATTCAAAGCTTAATAGCTTGTGCAGTAGCATTGCCTATATGGTTGAGGGTCCCGAGAGCAATGTGAATATGGTAAGTTAGGAAATCAGATCAAATGTGAATGGCAACTACAGAATTTTTCATTTCTTTTAGACTGCCCTACCCATCATGGTTGAAAGCCATCCGGCTGGGGCCTCTACCAATCAGATATGCCATTACATGCAAGAACAACAGTCGGGACGATTCTGTCTCTATGATCATGGCCCCAAAAGGAATATGGAAATGTATGGTCAAATCACGCCTCCTGACTATCCTCTGGAGTTAATTTCTTCTCAGGTCCATCTGTGGTACAGTGACAATGATGACATGGCCGCTGTGGTAGATGTTGAACGTTTGGCAGAAAAATTGCCCAATCGGGTGATGCATCACATGGAAGATCCCACATGGGCTCATGGTGATTTTGCCATGCACATAGAAGTCAAGAAATTTGTCAGTGATCCAATTGTGGAAATCATGAATAATTATGAAAAGGAAATGCAATTATGAAAAAATAAATATTTAGGATGAAATTTTGAAGTCCTTAATAAATGTGAATTTTTTAAAAAAAATATTTTTTGAAGACCGGCATAGACGTGGAGTTTTTTAAAAATTATTTTTACAAGTCCAACATGAACGTGGATTTTTTAAAATTTTTTTTGAAGTCCACCACAAACGTGGATTTTTTAAAAAAATATTTTTTGAAGTCCTCTACAAACGTGGATTTTTTAAAAATTTATTTTTTAGGTCCTTTACAAACGTGGATTTTTTTAAAAATTTATTATATATTTAATATAATTTTTTAATATACTTTTTTGAAGTCCAACCGCAAACGTGGAGTTTTTAAAAAATTATTTTTTGAAGTCCTCTACAAACGTGGATTTTTTAAAAATTTATTTTTTAGGTCCTTTACAAACGTGGATTTTTTTAAAAATTTATTTTTTAGGTATTTTACAATCGTGGATTTTTTTAAAAATTTATTATATATTTAATATAATTTTTTAATATACTTTTTTGAAGTCCAACCACAAACGTGGATTTTTTAAAAATTATTTTTTGAGGTCCCTAACAAACGTGGATTTATTAAAAATTATTTTTTGAGGTCCCTAACAAACGTGGATTTATTAAAAATTATTTTTTGAAGCCCTTAATCATTTTTTATTCATTTAAATTTTCATATTTATTCATAATTTCAATAATTGGATCACTGATATATTTCTTGACCTCCTTGTGTACTGCAAAATCACCATGGGCCCATGTGGGGTCTTCCATGTGATGCATAATACGATTGGGTAATTTGACAGCCAAACGTTCAACATCGTCCAAATGAGCCCAGTCATCATTGTCACTGTACCAGAGATGGACTTCGGAAGTAATCCACTCTACAGGATACTCAGGTGGTGTGGCTTGACCATATAGTTCCATGTTCTTTTTCGGACCATGATCATAGAGGCAGAAACAACCCGACTGTTGTGCTTGCATATAATGACACATTTGATTGGTGGAGGCTCCAGCAGGGTGGGTTTCAAGTATGATGGGCAAAGCGGTCTGGATAATAGATTTAATTAAAGTTTAGGTTATTTCTGCAACGAATAGTTATTCCTTACCATATTTTTATTACTTTCCGAGCCCTCGACCAAATAAGCGATGCTACTGCACAGTCCATGTAATTTGGACTTTGGTGAGCAGGCATTATAGAGCAGTTTCGTAAACAATTCATTGTGTGGAATAAACTCTTGACTATCGAAGAAGGCAGCATAGGCATTGTGGTGGCCCAAAATCGGTGCCAAGGTCGTCACAAATTTATCCGACATATTACCAATATAGGCCACTGGGGCCAACATATGGGCGGTTTTAATTTTCTCATTATATTCAGGACGGGTAGACATCAAGGCGAAGAAAACAGTGGTCCCCTGCGAGTGGCCCACATAATGTATGGCCTTTTGGCCCTGACCATTTACGACCAAGATATAATCAATCATGGCCGCAATATCATATTGACCAATTTCATGCCAACTAAAACGCCAGAAGTAGGGATGATTTGTGGATTTCGATATGTGATTACGCCCATAGGTGGTGCCACGAGCATTGCCAAACCAAACATCATAACCAGCATCGGCTAAATTGAAACCGATGCCATCATCTGGACCAACAGCCATCCAGGCATCCGAACTACTATGCAAACCGTGTTGCAGCAGAACAATGGGACGTTGGGCATTTTGATTTTGCAATTTATGGGAATAGGGTATGCGAAAGAGGGTAATATTATAGCCATCCTCTGTAATCACCCCATGAGTTTCTGCTGGATAGCCATGGGCTGCAATGCGATCTGCCTGGTTAAAAGTTATTATTTTTAGAAGAATATTTTTAAATTTTATGTTTTAGACCTACCGTAGTAATTTTGGGTTTTAGTGTAATATGTGGCTCAGGATTCTGAAAATAGCGCAAAATATCAGCAGTGGGCTGAGCACTAACACCGGCAATTGCCACCAGCAGCGCAATCCAGATGTATGTCTTCATCGTATACAGCTCCCCTTAAGACTGAAAAAGCCAATGCTTTTATTGGGGGTGCCGAAATTATCAGTCGATCTAATGTGTACTTTGATAAGATTATTATTCAAACTATTTTTAGTAATATTTATTAATAATTCTTAATAAAAGTGGATTTTTTAAAAATTATTTTTTGAAGTCCCACATAAATGTGGATTTTTTAAAAATTATTTTTGAAGATCAAAATAAACGTGGATTTTTTAAAATTATTTTTTATGAAGTCCAACAAAAACATATATTTTTTAAAAATTATTTTTTGAAGTCCTTAGTAAACGTGGATTTTTAAAAAATTATTGTTTGAAGGCCTTGTTAAACATGGATTTTTAAAAAAATATTTTTTGAAGGCCTTGTTAAACGTGGATTTTTAAAAAATTATTTTTTGAAGGCCTTGTTAAACGTGGATTTTTTAAAATTATTTTTTATGAAGTCCAACATAAACATAGATTTTTTAAAAATTATTTTTTGAAGTCTTTAGTAAACGTGGATTTTTAAAAAATTATTTTTTGAAGGCCTTGTTAAACATGGATTTTTAAAAAATTATTTTTTGAAGGCCTTGTTAAACGTGGATTTTTAAAAAATTATTTTTTGAAGGCCTTGTTAAACGTGGATTTTTAAAAAAAATATTTTTTGAAGGCCTTGTTAAACGTGGATTTTTAAAAAATTATTTTTTGAAGGCCTTGTTAAACGTGGATTTTTAAAAAATATTTTTTGAAGGCCTTGTTAAACGTGGATTTTTAAAAAAAAATATTTTTTGAATTCCAACATAAACGTGGATCTTTTGAAAATTATTTTTTTAAGTCCAACATAAACGTGGATTTTTTGAAAATTATTTTTTTAAGTCCAACATAAACGTGGATTTTTTGAAAATTATTTTTTGAAGTCCAACATAGACGCCGATTTTTTAAAAAAATATTTTTTGAAGTCTCTAATAAACGTGGATTTTTTAAAAAAAATATTTTTTGAAGTCTCTAATAAACGAGGATTTTTTAAAAATTATTTTTTGAGGGCCAATATAAATGTCGATTTTTTAAAAATTATTTTTTGAAGTCTCTAATAAACGTGGATTTTTTAAAAATTATTTTTTGAGGGCCATCATAAAAGTCGATTTTTTAAAAAAATATTTTTTGAAGTCTCTAATAAACGTGGATTTTTAAAAATTATTTTTTGAGGGCTAACATAAACGCGGATTTTTTAAAAAATATTTTTATGAAGTCCTACATAAACGTTTTTTTAAGAATATTTTTTGAAGTCCCACATAAATGTGGATGTTTTAAAAAAATATTTTTTGAAGTCCCACATAAATGTGGATGTTTTAAAAAAATATTTTTTGAAGATCAACATAAACGTGGATTTTTTTTGGAAATGATTTCGGAGACCCCTGGAAGTTATATTGCTTCTTTAATCGGACGGATAGGGGGGTAATCTAAATCAAATGCATTCATTAATCTTATCTCAAATGTTGTGTTAATTGGACAATGACTAGGGTTATGCGAAATTAGCTGATATCAACATTTCCCAAAATATTTCAAATACAACAACTGGTTATTGTTGTAAACTGAAGCACCTAGTCGTGTGTGCGAATTTTGCAAAATTAGGACGCATGTCTGGTCACTTTTCTGACATCATTAACAGCTGTTGGTTGTGAACAAATGACGGATATTTGGAGATATTTTTAAAATCCTCAACCCGGCAGTTGACATTGAGACTTAAAATCTCTACGGTAAGTCAAATAGGGAAAAATTGATAGATGGATTTCAATTTCAAATGGGTCGACCGCATTACCAAACATGGCTATTCAGGGGGAACCCATGAGATAAACACCGAAGATGCTATCATCCCCTTTTTCCGCATACCATATTCCCATAATTTGCAGAATCCGATAGTTCTGATACAACACGGGACCTTCTGAAACAAAAGGGACTTAAAATAATAATTTTTTAAACATTCGCGTTATCAGTAATTTCAAAAAATATTTTTTTAAAAATGCACATTTATGTTGGCCTTCAAAAGATAATTAAAAAAACACTTTTATCAGACTTTCAAAAAATAATTTTTTAAAAATCCGCGTTTATCAGGAATTTAAAAAAAATAATTTTTTAAAAATCCGCGTTTATCAGGAATTTAAAAAAATAATTTTTTAAAAATCCGCGTTTATCAGGAATTTAAAAAAATAATTTTTTAAAAATCCGCGTTTATCAGGAATTTAAAAAAATAATTTTTTAAAAATCCACATTTATCAGGAATTTAAAAAAATGATTTTTTAAAAATCCACGTTTATCAGGAATTTAAAAAAATGATTTTTTAAAAATCCACTTTTATCAGGAATTTAAAAAAAAATGATTTTTAAAAATCCACGTTTATCAGAAATTTAAAAAAAATAATTTTTAAAAAATCCACGTTTATCAGAAATTAAAAAAAAATGATTTTTTAAAAATCCACGTTTATTAGGAATTTTAAAAAAATCCACGTTTATCAGGAAAAAAAATGATTTTTTAAAAATCCACGTTTATCAGGAATTTAAAAAATGATTTTTTAAAAATCCACGTTTATCAGGAATTTAAAATAATAATTTTTTAAATATCCACGTTTATCAGGAATTTAAAAAAATAATTTTAATAAAAACAATTATTTGAGCTTGGGGTCAAACTTTTTGGTTTTTTTAATTATTTATTTTTCTTTTTCCAATATTTCGAAGCTCTTTGAGTTTCATCTTCAGGGTGATTTGCAAATAATTAAAATAATAAACTTAAAACTAGCGAAGTGTGACTACTACCGTCAAGTGTTACTATTGCACTTAACTTGACGGTAGTAGTCACACTACGCTAAGCCTTCAAAAATTTTTTTTTAAAGAATTATTTTTAAAAAATCCACGTTTATATTGGACTTCAAAAAACATTTTTTTAAAAAATCCACGTTTATGTTAGCTCTAAAATAAATAATTTAAAAAAAATCCAAATTTATATTGGCAACCAAAAAATAATTTTAAAAAAATCCACGTTTTTTTAAATCTTTTATTTTCCTTTCATTATCTTCACATTTTCATTTCTTGTTCGTAGTCATTCATTATTTCTATAATCGGTTCATTGATATACTTCTTGACTTCTATATGTGAGGCAAAATCGCCATGAGCCCATGTGGGATCTTCCATGTGATGCATGACACGATTGGGTAATTTGTCTGCCAAACGTTCAACATCTATCACAGCTGCCATGTCATCATTGTCACTGTACCACAGATGAACTTTCGAGGTAATCTGTTCCACTGGATAATCGGGTGGCGTAGGTTGACCATACAGTTGGAGATTCTTTGTTCGCCCATAATCATACAGACAGAAACGACCCGACTGCTGTTCTTGCATGTAATGGCATATTTGATTGGTAGAACAACCGGCAGGATGGGTCTCTGCCAAAATGACTAGACCGGTCTGGAAATAAACAATAGGGTAATAATTATATATTTTAAGTATGGCATTTCTTCAACTTACCCTATTTGTATTGGATTCCGGACCCTCCAGCATATAGGCAATACTATTGCATAGTTGATGGGTCTTAGAGTTCGGGGCACACGCATTGTAACCCAATTTGGTAAACAGCTCATTGTAGGGTATAAACTCTTGATCATTAAAAAATGCCGCATAGCCATTGTGGTGCCCCAGATAGGGTGCCAATGTCCTAACCAATTTATCGGACATATTATTCATAAAGGCCACCGGGGCCAACATGTGGGCTGTTTTAATTTTCGCATTATACTCAGGACGCGATGACATCAGAGCAAAGAACACAGTGGTTCCCTGCGAGTGGCCCACATAATGTATGGCCTTTTGTCCCTGACCATTTATGGCCAGGGCGTAATCAATCATGGCCGCAATATCATAATGGCCAATTTCATGCCAACTAAAGCGCCAGAAGTACGGGTGATTTGTGGACATCGATGTGTGATTGCGACTATAGGTATTGCCACGCGCATTGCCAAACCAGACATCGTAGCCAGCATCGGCTAAATTGAAACCAATGCCATCATTTGGGCCATTCAACATCCAACCATCGGAACTGCTAAACAAACCGTGTTGTATCAAAACTATCGGACGATAGGCATTTTGATTTTGCAATTTATGGGAATAGGGTATGCGGAAGAGGGTAATAATATAACCATCCTCGGTGACAACTTTATGGGTTTCTGCCGGATAGCCATGGGAAGCTATGCGATCGGCCTGGGAAAATACAAGATTTAAAAATATGCATCTCTTCAAATTTTCTTTTTTCACTTACCGTTGTGATTTTCGGTCTCAATGTTAGCTGAGGTTCGGGATTTTGAAAATATCTCAAAATATCCGGCGTTGGCTGACAGCCAACAGCTGTTAGCGATATCAGCAAAGCTAACCAGACACACGTCCTCATTTTGCAAGATTTCAATATTGACTAAGTGCGGTCAATTATCGGTTTGGAATTTGCTTGGAGTTACTGCTAGATTTTGAATTATCGTCAAATTTTCATAATCTGGTAATCAGGCACCCCAAGTGACCAATTTAAATAATATTGAAGATTAGATTAGGCAAAATAAACATTTGTTTTTTAAGTTTATATAGCCCCCCGGATTGGACAATTAAAAGTGGTAAATTGTTTAATCGAGTTTGAGGTTTATAATTCCAGGGAGGGGGTCATTCTGTAGCTGAGGATTGATCGTGGGAAACAAAAAATCCAAGTTCATTATAGACTTCTTAAATAACATTAAAAAAAAATCCACGTCTATATTGGCCTCTAAAAAATAATTTACAAAAAATCCACGTCTATGTTGGCCTCTAAAAAATAATTTACAAAAATTCCACGTCTATGTTGGCCTCTAAAAAATAATTTACAAAAAATCCACGTCTATGTTGGCCTCTAAAAAATAATTTACAAAAAATCCACGTCTATGTTGGCCTCTAAAAAATAATTTTTAAAAAATCCACGTCTATGTTGGACTCTCAAAAAAAATTTGCGTTTGACTTAAAAAAATAAATTTTTAAAAAATCCACGTTTATGTGGGAGCCTCAACATGAGGTTCGGGATTTTGAAAATATCTCAAAATATCCGGCGTTGGCTGACTGCCAACAGCTGTTAGCGATATCAGCAAAGCTAACCAGACACACGTCCTCATTTTGCAAAATACCAATATTGACAAAGGGCGGTCAATTATCGGTCTGGAATTTGCTTGGGGTTACTGCTAGATTTGGTATTATCATCAATTTTTCATAATCTGGTAATCAGGTACCCCAAGTGACCAATTTAAATAATATTGTAGATTAGATTAGGAAAAACAAACATTTCTTTTTTAAGTTTAGATAGTCCATCGGATTGGACAATTAAAAGCGTTAAATTGTATAATCGATTTTGTGGTTTACAAGGAGGCCTGATGAATGACCGTAGGAATAATACCTTTGAAGGCGAATTTCAAATAATTTTTAAAAAAATCCACGTCTATGTTGGCCTCTAAAAAATAATTTACAAAAATTCCACGTCTATGTTGGCCTCTAAAAAATAATTTAAAAAAAATCCACGTCTATGTTGGCCTCTAAAAAATAATTTACAAAAATTCCACGTCTATGTTGGCCTCTAAAAAATAATTTTAAAAAAATCCACGTCTATGTTGGTCTCTAAAAGATAATTTTTTAAAATCCACGTTTATATTGGCCTCTAAAAAATATTTTCAAAAGTCCACGTCTATGTTGGCCTCTAAAAGATTATTTTCAAAAAAATCCACGTCTATGTTAGTCTCTAAAAGATAATTTTTTAAAATCCACGTTTATATTGACCTCTGAAAATAATTTTCAAAAAGTCCATGTCTATGTTGGCCTCTAAAAAATAATTTGTTAAAAATCTACGTCTATGTTGGCCTCTAAACAATAATTTTCAAAAACTCCACGTCTATGTTGGCCTCTAAAAAATAATTTTTTAAAAAACCACGTCTAAGTTGGCCCCTAAAAAATAATTTTTATAAAATCCACGTCTATGTTGGCCTCTAAAAATAATTTTTTAAAAATCCACGTCTATGTTGGACTCTAAAAAATAATTTTTAAAAAATCCACGTCTATGTTGGACTCTAAAAAATAATTTGTAAAAAATCCACGTCTATGTTGGACTCTCAAAAATAATTTGCGTTTGACTTGAAAAAATAATTTTTAAAAAATCCACGTTTATGTTTTACTTCAAAAAATAATTTTTAAAAAATCCACGTTTATATTTTACTTCAAAAAATAATTTTTAAAAAATCCACGTTTATGTTTTACTTCAAAAAATAATTTTTAAAAAATCCACGTTTATGTTCTACTTCAAAAAATATTTTGTAAAAAATCCACGTTTTTGTTGGCCTTCAAAAATAATTTTAAAAAATCTACGTTTTTGATGGGCTTCAAAAAATAAATTAAAAGAAAAATATTTTTTTGTTAGCATAGTGTAATTTAAAAATCCACATTTGCTAAAGCCAATTAATAAAAACCCTACCCTTAAAGTATGCAACACATAATAATTATAAGACATTTTAAATCAAGTTTCTCTTTGTATTATCTTTTTGGACCACCTCAAAATTTATTCCACAAAAATGATTTCCATTTCACAAAGCCTCTTCATATTGATTCATTATCTCAATAATCGGTTCATTTATCAATCTCTTCACATCGATGTGTGTGACATAGTCACTATGGGCCCAAGTGGGGTCGGTAATATGATGCTTGACCCTATTCGGCAATTTGCTAGCTAAAATTTCAACATCCTCCACGGCCACAGCTGGATCTGTATCACAATACCACAAATGAACGTTGGCCGTAATTTGTTCCACTATATAGTCTGGGGGAGTTTCTTGGCTATATAATTTTAGGTTTTTCGCCTTGCCATGATCATACCAACAGAAACGACCGGATTGATGTTCTTGCATTGTGTGTAACATTTGATTGGTCGACAGACCGGCGGGATGGGTTTCGGCCATGATTGTTACAGCGGACTGTGGGGAGAAAAACGGAAAGAAAAAAAATATTATTTAAATGTGGATTTTTTAAAAATTGTTTTTTCAAGGCCCGATAAACGTGGATTTTTTTAAAACTATTTTTTCAAGGCCCTGATAAACGTAGATTTTTTTAAAATTATTTTTTCAAGGGACTGATAAACCTGGATTTTTTAAAAACTATTTTTTCAAGGCCCTGATAAACGTGGATTTTTTAATAACTATTTTTTCAAGGGACTAATAAACCTGGAATTTTTAAAAACTATTTTTTCAAGGCCCTGATAAGCGTGGATATTTTAAAAATTATTTTTTAAAGACCAACATAGACGTGGATTTTTTAAAAAATTATTTTTTGAAGACCAACATAGACGTGGGTTTTTTAAAAATTATTTTTTGAATGCCCTGATAAACGTGGATTTTTTAAAAATTATTTTTTCAAGGCCCTGATAAACGTGGATTTTTTAAAAATTACTTTTCAAGGCCCTGATAAACATGTTTTTTTTTAAATTATTTTTCAAGGCCCTGATTTTTTAAAATTATTTTTCAAGGCCCTGATAAACGTGGATTTTTTAAAAATTATTTTTCAAGGGCCTGATAAACGTGGAATTTTTAAAAATTATTTTTTCAAGGCCCTGATAAACGTGGATTTTTTAAAAATTATTTTTTCCTTTACTCACCCTATTAGCATTTGATTCACTGCCCTCGAACATAAAAGCCATCGCACTGCACATGCTATGCAGCATGGAATTTGGATTGCAGGCATTGTAACCCAATTTCGTAAAGAATTCATTGTGTGGCAAAAATTCCTGATCACTAAAGGCCGCTGTAACGGCATTTTGATGACCCAACACTGGAGCCATTCTCGTCAACATTTTATCCGACATATTGCTGACATAGGCAATAGGAGCCATGGTGTGAGCAGTTTTGATCTTTTCATTATATTCCGGTCGAGCTGAGGTCAATACAAAGAATGCCGATGTGCCTTGAGAATGGGCCACAAAATGCACTGACTTCTGGCCCTGGCCATTTGTGGCCAAGGCATAATCAATTTGAGCTGCAATGTCATAGAAACCAATTTCATGCCAACTGAAACGCCAAAAGTAGGGATGATTAGTGGAGCGGGAGATATGTTTACGGCCATAGGTATTGCCACGGGAGTTAAGTATCCAAACATCATAGCCAGCATCGACGAGATTGAAAGACAGGGCGTCATTGGGTCCATTCAAGATCCAAAAATCGGAACTACAAAAGAGACCATGCAGTAGCAAAACAATGGGACGGAAATCTTTTTGATTTTGCAATTTATGGGAGTAGGGCATGCGGAAGGCGGTAATATTGTAACCATCTTCGGTGATAATGTGATGACTCTCAACCGGATAGCCATGGGCAGCAATGCGATCAGCCTGGGGGATGAGAAAAACGAAGGCATTAAATCGAATTCTATATCACAAATCTTGGCGGGTTCGTACTGTCGTCAGTTTGGGTTTCAGTAACAATTTTGGATCAGAATCGAACAAATATTTCAACAGTTCAGTTGGCTGTGGCACTCCAGCCTTGGCCACTACTATTAAGAGAACAAACAAGAACCACGTCTTCATTTTGCCAATATTCGGATCAGACTAAATGGGTACAATTTTATTAACACTCTATATTGAATCTTCGATTCGATTGCGCTAATTTATTCACATTCTTCAAGATTAGATAAATGCATTGGTGATTTTTAAATAATTATAATTTTTTTTTGATATGTGTCTAAGTGTGTGTATTGCACAGGAGGATCTTAAAAAAAAAACACCTCAACCAACTCTTTTGTGGCTCTGATGATCCTTCGAAAATAGTCATTAAAAACCCCCGTTCGTGGCTTTGGTAGTCCTATTTTTTTAATTCCCCATTTTTGTCTTTAATCCTTGTAAAATATTATTTAAAAACTCCTCGTTAATGGATCAAAAGGTCCCTCAAAAATATTCTTTAAAAAATCCTTGTTTGAGGATCAAAAGGTCCCTCAAAAATATTCTTTAAAAAATCCTCGTTTGAGGATCAAAAGGTCCCTCAAAAATATTCTTTAAAAAATCCTCGTTTGAGGATCAAAAGGTCCCTGAAAAATATTCTTTAAAAACTCCTCGTTAAAGGATCAAAAACTATTCTTTAAAAACTCCTCGTTAAAGGATCAAAAACTATTCTTTAAAAACTCCTCGTTAAAGGATCAAAAGGTCACAGAAAAATATTCTTTAAAAAATCCACGTTTGAGGATAAAATGATCCTTAAATTATACTCTTTAAAAAATCCACGTTTAAGGATGAAATGGTCCTTAAAAATATTCTTTAAAAAATCCACGTTTAAGGATCAAATGATCCTTAATTAAACTCTTTAAAAAATCCACGTTTAAGGATGAAATGGTCCTTGAAAAATATTCTTTAAAAAATCCACGTTTAAGGATGAAATGGTCCTTGAAAAATATTCTTTAAAAAATCCAAGTTTAAGGATGAAATGGTCCTTGAAAAATATTCTTTAAAAAATCCACGTTTAAGGATGAAATGGTCCTTGAAAAATATTCTTTAAAAAATCCACGTTTAAGGATGAAATGGTCCTTGAAAAATATTCTTTAAAAAATCCACGTTTAAGGATAAAATGGTACTTGAAAAATATTCTTAAAAAAATCCACGTTTAAGGATGAAATGGTCCTTGAAAATACTATTTAAAAAATCCGCGTTTAAGGATGAAATGGTCCTTGAAAAATATTCTTTAAAAACTACACGTTTAAGTATAAAATAATCCTTGAAAAATATTCTTTAAAAAATCGTTTAAGGGTCCTTTAAAAATACTATATATAATTGAAAAATATTCTTTAAAGATCAAATGGTCCTTGAAAAATATTCTTAAAAAAATCCCCGTTTAGGGATAAAATGGTCCTTGAAAAATATTCTTTAAAAAATCCACGTTTAAGGAACAAACAATCCTTCGAAAATATTCTTTAAAAAATGCCATGATTCCTTAAAAATGATTTTTAAAAATCCATGTTTGTAGCACTGATGGTCCTTGAAAAATATTCTTTAAAAAATCCATGTTTGTGGCTCTGATGGTCCTTGAAAAAAATAATCTTTTAAAAATCCACGTTTAGGAACCGCTGGTCATTGGAAATATCTGATGGTCCTTGAAAAATAATCTTTTAAAAATCCATGTTTGTGGCTCTGATGGTCCTTGAAATATATTCTTTAAAAAATCCATGTTTGTAGCTCTGATGGCCCTTGAAAAATATTCTTTAAAAATTCATGTTTGTGGCTCTGATGGCCCTTAAAAAATATTCTTTAAAAAATACACGTTTGAGGATCAAATGATCTTTGAAAAATATTCTTTAAAAAATACACGTTTGTGTCATTGTTGGTCCTTGAAAAATATTTTTTAAAAATCCAGGTTTAAAGATCAAAAATCCACGTTTATGGCTCTGATGATCCTTGAAAAATGTTCTTTAAAAGTTCCACGTTTGTGGTTCTGACGGTCCTTGAAAAATATTCTTTAAAAAATCCATGTTTGTGGTTCTGACGGTCTTTGAAAAATATTCTTTAAAAACTCCTTGATAAATAATATATAAAAACTCCACGTTTAAAGATCAAATGGTCCTTGAAAAATATTCTTTAAAAAATCCACGTTTGTGGTTCTGATGGTCCTTGAAAAATATTCTTTAAAAAATCCACGTTTGTGGTTCTGATGGTCCTTGAAAAATATTCTTTAAAATATCCACGTTTGTGGTTCTGATGGTCCTTGAAAAATATTCTTTAAAAAATCCACGTTTGTGGTTCTGATGGTCCTTGAAAAATATTCTTTAAAAAATCCACGTTTGTGGTTCCGATAGTCCTTGAAAAATATTCTTTAAAAAATTCACGTATGTGGTTTTGATAGTCGTTGAAAAAGTTTTCTTTAAAAAATCCACGTTTGTGGCATTGTTGGTCCTTAAAAAATATTCTTTTAAAAATCTACGTTTGTGGCATTGTTGGTCCTTGAAAAATATTCTTTAAAAAAACACGTTTAAGGATCAAATGTTCCTGGAAAAATATGCTTTAAAAATCCACGTTTAGGGATCAAGTGGTCCTTGAAAAAGTTTTCTTTAAAAAATCCACGTTTGTGTCTCTGATGGTCCTTGTAAAATATTCTTTAAAAAAATAACGTTTAAGGACCAACTGGTCTTTTTAAAGGTCCAAAATATTTAAAAATGCCTTAAAAAGGCCCGAATAGTCTTGAAGAAATATGTTTGTCCATTTTTTGGAACTGACTAATTTCTACGCCTTTCAAGTTGAAGTCCCCACAACCATTTTTTCTTTTTTTTTTGATTTGGTTTGTTGATATTCTTTTTTATCAAATCAAAAAATAAACAAATTTAGACCGATTTATGGCCTCTCGACACAAATCGGTATTCGTAGGGGGTCGATCAGTATCTCTGACAAAATAATAGAAATATGTAATCGGTAGCTATTTTTATAATGGGCTAGCACCTCACCCAAGTGTATAAGAGCCCCCATAAATTGTTTACGGCCGATAACGGCAGCAACAATAGACTACTGGTGTTAAGCTAAGGTAAACAAAACAATGGAGGAAGAAAAAATCGAAAAAAAAAAACAACAACTATCATCAAGTGCATGGAGAAATAAGGAAAAAAGGTAAATTACTAAACTGGGTTATTGATGGAAAGGTTGCAGTCGGAATGAGGAAAAAATGTAGGTTATTAATGGAAAGGTTAGGGACGCCGTTGACACTCGGCTGGAAAATTATGAAGTTATTTAGCAAAGCAGAGGAAAATAAATTATTAATTATAACTTTAAATAGCAATGTGCAGTTTATTGCACATAATTATAGTAGCAACAATTACAAAAGCAACAACAACTTCAGAGTGGAGAGGAAAATTGTTCATTTATAAACCAATTAGCAAGAATAAAGAAAATATTAAAATGAAATTGACAATAATTCGAATCTGCTGGGTAGCGATGATTTGTAGCACAGCTGAGGCAGCTATGCTGGAAACCATGGAGATTAAAGGAAATGCAAATATTCTGCAATATTTTCAACAACCTGGAAAACATTTGCAATTGAATCGCAAAACAACGGTAAATTTAATTTTTTAATTATTTGTTCAAGGATCAAAAAGGACACAAACGTGGATATGTCAAAGAATATTTTTCAAGGACCATCAGAGTTACAAACGTGGATTTTTGAAAGAATTTTTTTCAAGGACCAAAATACCATAAACGTGGATTTTTTAAAGAATATTTTTAAAGGACCATCAGAGCCACAAGCGTGCATTTTTTAATCAATATTTTTAATGGACCATAAGGGCCACAAACGTGGATATTTTAAAGAATATTTTTAAAGGACCATCAGAGCCACAAGCGTGAATTTTTTAAACAATATTTTTAATGGACCATCAGAGCCACAAACGTGGATATTTTAAAAAATATTTTTCAAGGACCATCGGAGCCACAAACGTGGATTTTTTAAAGAATATTTTTAAAGGATCATCAGAGCCACAAACGTGGATTTTTTAAAGAATATTTTTAAAGGATCATCAGAGCCACAAACGTGGATTTTTTAAAGAATATTTTTAAAGGATCATCAGAGCCACAAACGTGGATTTTTTAAAGAATATTTTTAAAGGATCATCAGAGCCACAAACGTGGATTTTTTAAAGAATATTTTTAAAGGATCATCAGAGCCACAAACGTGGATTTTTTAAAGAATATTTTTAAAGGATCATCAGAGCCACAAACGTGGATTTTTTAAAGAATATTTTTAAAGGATCATCAGAGACACAAACATGGATTTTTTAAAGAATATTTTTAAAGGATCATCAGAGACACAAACGTGGATTTTTTAAAGAATATTTTTAAAGGATCATCAGAGCCACAAACGTGGATTTTTTAAAGAATATTTTTAAAGGATCATCAGAGCCACAAACGTGGATTTTTTAAAGAATATTTTAAAGGATCATCAGAGCCACAAACGTGGATTTTTTAAAGAATATTTTTAAAGGATCATCAGAGCCACAAACGTGGATTTTTTAAAGAATATTTTTAAAGGATCATCAGAGACACAAACGTGGATTTTTTAAAGAATATTTTTAAAGGATCATCAGAGCCACAAACGTGGATTTTTTAAAGAATATTTTTAAAGGATCATCAGAGCCACAAACGTGGATTTTTTAAAGAATATTTTTAAAGGATCATCAGAGCCACAAACGTGGATTTTTTAAAGAATATTTTTAAAGGATCATCAGAGCCACAAACGTGGATTTTTTAAAGAATATTTTTAAAGGATCATCAGAGCCACAAACGTGGATTTTTTAAAGAATATTTTTAAAGGATCATCAGAGCCACAAACGTGGATTTTTTAAAGAATATTTTTAAAGGATCATCAGAGCCACAAACGTGGATTTTTCAAAGAATATTTTTAAAGGATCATCAGAGCCACAAACGTGGATTTTTTAAAGAATATTTTTAAAGGATCATCAGAGCCACAAACGTGGATTTTTTAAAGAATATTTTTAAAGGATCATCAGAGCCACAAACGTGGATTTTTTAAAGAATATTTTTCAAGGACCATAAGAGTCACAAACGTGGATTTTTTTTAAGGAATATTTTTCAAGGACCATCAGTGCCACAAACGTGGATTTTTTAAAGAATATTTTTCAAGTACCATTTGATCCTCAAACGTGGATTTTTTAAAGAATATTTTTCAAGGATAATTTGATCCTCAAACGTGGATTTTTAAAATAATATTTTTCAAGTACCATTTGATCCTCAAACGTGGATTTTTTAAAGAATATTTTTCAAGGATAATTTGATCCTCAAACGTGGATTTTTAAAATAATATTTTTCAAGGTTAATTTGATCCTCAAACGTGGATTTTTATAAAAATATATTTCAAGGATAATTTGATCCTCAAACGTGGATTTTTTAAAGAATATTTTTCAAGGACCATTTGATCCTCAAACGTGAATTTTTAAAAGAATATTTTTCAAGGATAATTTGATCCTCAAACGGGGATTCTTAAAAGAATGTTTTTCAAGGATAATTTGATCCTCAAACGTGGATTTTTAAAAGTATATTTTTCAAGGATAATTTGATCCTCAAATGTGGATTTTTTAAAGAATATTTTTCAAGGACCATTTGATCCTTAAACGTGGATTTTTTAAAGAATATTTTTCAAGGACCATTTGGTCCTTAAACGTGGATTTTTTTAAAAAATATTTTTCAAAGACCATTTGATCCTTAAACGTGGATTTTTTAAATAATATTTTGCAAGGACCATCAGAACCACAAACGTGGATTTTTTAAATAATATTTTTCAATTACCATCTGATCTTTAAACGTGAATTTTTTAAATAATATTTTTCAATTACCATCTGATCCTTAAACGTGGATTTTTTAAAAAATATTTTTCAAGGACCATTTGATCCTTAAACGTGGATTTTTTAAAGAATATTTTTCAAGGACCTTTCGATTTTTATACGTGGATTTTAAAAGGAATTTTTTGCAAAGACCTTTTGATTCTTAAACGTGGATTTTTTAGAGAATACTTCTCAAGCCACAAACGTGGTCATTTTAAGCATATTTGTGGGGGACCATTTGATCCTTAAATGTGGATTTTTTTAAGGACATCTTCCAAGGATCATATGATCATTATTTGCATTTTTTATAAAATATTTTAAAGACCGTTTGATCCTTAAACGTGGATTTTTAAAAGAATATTTTTCAAGGACCATCAGAGCCACAAACATGGATTTTTTTAAAGAAGATTTTTCAATAATGATCCTAGATCCTTAAACGTGGATTTTCAAAGAATATTTTTCAAGGACCATTAAACGTGGATTTTTTGGCGAATATTTTTCAGAGCTACAAACATGGATTTCTTAAAGAATATTTTTCAAGGACCATTTGATCTTTAAACTTGGATCAGAGCTTCAAACGTGGATTTTTTAAAGAATATTTTTCAAGGACCATTTGATCTTTAAACTTGGATCGGAGCCACAAACGTGGATTTTTTAAAGAATATTTTTCAAGGTCCATTTGATCTTTAAACTTGGATCAGAGTCACAAACGTTGATTTTTTAAGAATATTTTTCAAGGACAATTTGATCCTTAAATATGGATTTTTCAAAGATTTGTTTTAGTTTTTTTTTTAATGAATATTTCATGGAATATTTGATCCTTAAACAATATTTTTCAATCTCCATTTGATCCTTAAACGTGGATTTTTAAAGAATATTTCAGGGAGTATTTGATCCTAGAACGTGGATTTTTTAAAAATATTTTTTCAAGGACCTTTTGATATTTAAACGTGGAGTTTTTGAAGAATATTTTCTAAGGATCATTAGAGACACAAATGTAATTTTTTATGCATATTTTTCAAGAACCTTTGGAGCCACAAATTTTAATTTTTTTATAGAATATTTTTGAAGGATCATTTGATCCTTCAACGTGCATTATTTAATGAATATTTTTCCTAATTATTTATTTAAATTCCAGTTAGACCGAGTTCTGGAAGTTGGATATCCTTGTGAGGAGCATGAAGTCGAAACGGAAGATGGTTACTTTCTCAAAATATATCGAATACCAGACTCACCGAAATCCATAGTCCAATCCCCATCCCCCTCATCTTCTCGACAACGCCCCCTGGTGTTACTGGAACATGGCCTAATGGGCACCTCAGATACCTGGATATTAAATGGTCCGGAAAGTAGTCTACCCTTCCTTTTGGCTGATCGTGGTTATGATGTGTGGCTTGGAAATGCCCGTGGAAATCTTTATGCCCGCAAACACCGAAGACTTAGTATACACCAAGGAGACTTTTGGCGTTTTAGTTGGCATGAAATTGGTTATTATGATCTAGCAGCCACCATTGATTATATTTTGCAGAATGCTACCGAAGTGGCAGAGAAGTCACTGCACTATGTTGGCCACTCCCAGGGTACAACTATTTTAACAGTGCTAATGACAATGCGTGAGGAGTATCAGCAATATTTGAGGACGGTAAACCTTTGGTCCCCGGTGATATTTTTGGATAATACCGAAAATCGTCTGCTCAAGGTATTGAGTCCATATATGGGTTATTATAATATTGTTACCGAAAAATTTAGTCGCCAAGAATTCGTACCCTTCAATGAGTTGTTTGACCTCCTAAAATACTCGGCATGTCAGAAGGAATCACAGCTGCATGCCTTCTGTTCGCCTTTGGCTATAATGATTGAGGGAACGTATCAGAATAAGAATAGGGTGAGTAAAGAGAGAGGGATCTGGGATCCCCACAATGAGTCAATTAATAATTGTTCCTTTTCTCCCCCTATACTAGTCCGCCTTGCAGCTATGTCTGGAAACCCATCCGGGTGGCATTTCCACCGAACAGTTCCTCCATTTTATGCAAGTGATTTACTCATCGGAATTTCGCCAATATGATTTTGGTTTATTTGAGAATTTTGCCCGTTACTCTCAGGCCTATCCGCCACGTTATCCTTTGGAGAGAATACATAAACTTCTACACATTTGGTATAGTCGTGGAGATGAAACGGTGAAACCCCAAGATGTACATCGTTTCGCAGCCGGAATGCCCGCGGTAGTTTTACATCGTATATCCGATGATAATTGGTCGCATAGTGATTATATGTTCGGTTTGAATGCACGACAACAGGTCAATGAACCTCTCATTGAGGTTTTGGATACATATGAGAGAAATAAAAATGGAATGTCATATTGAAATTTTAAAGATTTTCAATTTTTTAAAAAAAAAAAAATTTTTTAAAGAATCAAAGAAACTTTCAGCTTGGATTTTGTTTAGAATTAATTTCAAAGATTAACCTGGATTTTCCAAGGACCAAAAATCTATCCGCTTAAAATGTTTTAAAGAATATTTTCAAGGACCATCAATCTTTAAATTTGTAAGAATTATTTCTCAAGTTCAAGGACCTTTTACTGTTGATTTTTTAATGAATATTTTTTCAAAGACCAACAACCTTGATTTTTTAAGAACAGATAGTCTTGGATTTTTTAAGGAATATTTAGATCCTTAAAATTCGAGCAATTGATCCCTACACGTGGAAATATTTGTTGCAAGGACCATGGCTTATCTAAGGATAATGTCCTGGCGTTTTTTGAAACACAAACGATTTTCTAAAAATATTTTTCAAGGATCAAACGTGGATTTTCCTTAAACGTGGATTTTTAAAGGATATGCTTCAAGGACCATCAGAGCCACAAACGTGGATTTTTTAACGGATAAGCTTCAAGGACCATCAGAATACTTTTGAAGGGCCATCAGAGCCATAAAAGTGGTTTTTTTTTAATAATTCTTTTGAAGGACCATCACAGCTACAAAAGTGGATTTTTTAAAGAATTCTCTTTAAGGGCCATGAGAGCTACAAACGTGGATTTTTTAAAGAATTCTCTTTAAGGACCATCAGAGCTACAATCGTCGATTTTTTTAAAGAATTCTCTTTAAGGACCATCAGAGCTACAAACGTGGATTTGTTAAAGAATTCTCTTTAAGGACCATCAGAGCTACAAACGTGGATTTTTTAAATAATTCTCTTTAAGGACCATCAGAGCTACAAACGTGGATTTTTTGAAGAATTTTTCCAAAGACCATAACTTTTATCTTTAAACGTGGATTTTTTAAAGAATTTTTCCAAAGACCATAACTTTTATCTTTAAACGTTGAATTTTGAAAGAATTTTTCCAAAGACCATAACTTTTATCTTTAAACGTGGATTTTTTAAAGAATTTTTCCAAAGACCATAACTTTTATCTTTAAACGTGGATTTTTTAAAGAATTTTTCCAAAGACCATAACTTTTATCTTTAAACGTGGATTTTTTAAAGAATTTTTCCAAAGACCATAACTTTTATCTTTAAACGTGGATTTTTTAAAGAATTTTTCCAAAGACCATAACTTTTATCTTTAAACGTGGATTTTTTAAAGAATTTTTCCAAAGACCATAACTTTTATCTTTAAACGTGGATTTTTTAAAGAATTTTTCCAAATATCATAACTTTTATCTTTAAACGTGGATTTTTTAAAGAATTTTTCCAAAGATCATATCTTTTATCTTTAAACGTGGATTTTTTAAAGAATTTTTCCAAAGATCATAACTTTTATCTTTAAACGTGGATTTTTTATAGAATTTTTATCCTTAAACGTAGATTTTTTAAATATTTTTTCAAGGGCCATTTAGTCCTTAATCTTGGATTTTTTATAGAATTTTTATCCTTAAACGTGGATTTTTTAAAAAATTTTGTCAAGGACAATTTTATCTTTAAACGTGGATGTTTTAAAGAATAAATTTCAAGGACTATTTTGTCCTCTGTAAAGATTAATTTTCAATAACAATTTGGTCTTTAAACGTGGATTTACTTCGATTACAAAAAATTCAAGGACCATTTAATTCTTAAACGAGGATTTCTTATCCATTTTAAGGAATTTTTTCAAGGACAATTTGATTCCTAAACATAATTTTTTTTCTTTCTAGGATCATTTAATCTTTGGATTTTTTAAAGAATACTTTTAAAGGACCATTTGTTACCTTAACGTGGATTTTCAATGACCATTTAGTCCTTAAACGTGGATTTTTGTAAAAATATTTTTCAAGGACCACTTGTTATTTCGACATGGAGTATTTTAAGAATATTTTCAACGACCATTTTATCCCTAAATGTGGAGTTTTTAAAGATTTTTTTCAAGGACTATTTTATCCTGAAAACTGTATTTTTTAAAGATTTTTTTCAATGAATTTTTTTTCTATGAATTTTTTATTCTTAAACGAGGATTTTTCAAAGAATAATTGTCAATCGTTTTATCCTTAAACGTGGATTTTTTAAAGAATAGTTTTCAAGGACCATTCGGCCCTCAAACGTAGATTTTTAAAAAATAATTTTCATGGTCAATTAGGTCCCTTAACGCGGAAAAAATTATTGAGAAATAATAGAGATTCCTGTTCCTTGTTGACTTATAATGACTATAGTGATGACGAATATTTTTGTCTTTGACGTTAACCTGCAAAAATGAAGGTTTGTTGGCGATTTTTACAAAAACTCACAAAAAAGTATGGCTTTAAACTTAAAATGTATTTTTATGATATATGAACTATGAATATGTTAAATTGAGACATATGACGTCATCTAGTTTAAGGGGAGATATTATCGATATTTGCAAAATAGAAAATGAAATTTTCGATTAAAATAATCCTCGTGTTTTATCTGCAATATTGCCAATAGACACTTTATTATAAGATCAAAAGGTCTCCCTACTGGGGGACAATGAGAATTTGATTTAAAAACACAGATACAAAAACGTTTTCAATCTCTAAGCAAAATGTCTTTAACGTATCTCCATATAAATAGAAGTCCTTCAACAGGTCTTCTACCTTGAGGAATTTATCTAATCATAAGTTTAAACATTTTGGATGCACCAGATGGATCTTGAAAAACTTATATCTCTCCTGAAATTTTGCACAATGGAAAAATTCTAAAATTTATTCGTAAATCCTACATCCTCAATTATCTTCAAAGGCTGCTAAATATATGATTAAATTCCACACCACGATAAAATATCACACCGTAAGATTGTATATCTTCAAGAGGATTTTAGCAGTTAGAAGATAACATTTCCTTCCAAGTCATAAATTATGAGGGGGCCTTCTGTTAGATAACGCTGATAAGTTGGTTAAATTTAGTTCATTCTGGCTAAAATTAGTACCGAGAACATTTGATTGAAATACTAGAAGATAGCAAATCTGAGTGAGTGATGCGAACATTTGAAATCTAGACGACATTTATGGGCCACTGGAAGGGTATGGACCAAATTTCTAGTGTCCCATAAAAGATGTCTAGAATTTGAGTATATCCTTGAATTATTTGCAATTCAGTTGACCTATGGAGTTGGAAGTGGTTCGAATTGTATGAAACTTTCAAAATGGCCAAGAATCTGAGACAGTTTCAACACCAGATGAAATATTTTTTCAAGGAAAATTTAATCCTTAAAAGTGGATTAAAAAAAAATTCAAGGTCTATTTAGCCCTTAAACTTGGGATTTTTAAGAAATAGCCTTCAAAAGCCTTAACGTTGATTTTTGAAAGAATACCTTTCAAGGGCCTTAACGTTGATTCTTTAAAGGATAATTTTTAAGGGGCAGTTGCCCATTAAACGTGGATTTTTAAAGAATAATTTTCAAGGACCAGTTGCTCCTTAAACGTGGATTTTTTAAGGAATAATTTTCAAGGACCAGTTGCTCCTTAAACGTGGATTTTTTAAAGAATAATTTTCAAGGACCAGTTGCTCCTTAAACGTGGATTTTTTAAAGAATAATTTTCAAGGACCAGTTGCTCCTTAAACGTGGATTTTTTAAAGAATAATTTTCAAGGACCAGTTGCTCCTTAAACGTGGATTTTTTAAAGAATAATTTTCAAGGACCAGTTGCTCCTTAAACGTGGATTTTTTTAAGAATAATTTTCAAGGACCAGTTGCTCCTTAAACGTGGATTTTTTAAAGAATAATTTTCAAGGACCAGTTGCTCCTTAAACGTGGATTTTTTAAAGAATAATTTTCAAGGACCAGTTGCTCCTTAAACGTGGATTTTTAAAGAATAATTTTCAAGGACCAGTTGCTCCTTAAACGTGGATTTTTTAAAGAATAATTTTCAAGGACCAGTTGCTCCTTAAACGTGGATTTTTTAAAGAATAATTTTCAAGGACCAGTTGCTCCTTAAACGTAGATTTTTTAAAGAATAATTTTCAAGGACCTTTAAGCGTGGATTTTTTGAAGAATAATTTTCAAGGACCTTTTGCCCCTTAACCGTGGATTTTGTAAAGAATAATTTTCAAAGACCAGTTGCCCCTTAAACGTGGATTATTTAAAGAATAATTTTCAAGGACCAGTTGCCCTTTAAGCGTGGATTTTTTAAAGAATAATTTTTAAGGACCAGTAGCCCCTTAAACGTGGATTTTTGAAGAATCCTTTTCAAGGAACAGTTGCCCCTTAAACGTGGATTTATTCAAGAATAATTTTCAAGGACTAATTGCTCCTTAAACGTTGATTTTTTAAAGAATAATTGTCAAGGACCAGCTGCCCCTTAAACGTGGATTTTTTAAATAATTATTTTCAAGAACCCGTTGCCCCTTAAACGTGGATTTTTTAAAAAATAATATTCAAAGACCAATTGCCCCTTAAACGTGGATTATGTAAAAAATTATTTTCAAGAACCCGTTGCCCCTTAAACGTGAATTTTTTAAAGAATTATTTTCAAGGACCATTTCATCCTTAAACGTGGATTTTTTAAAGAATTATTTTCAAGGACCATTTCATCCTTAAACGTGGATTTTTTAAAGAATTATTTTCAAGGACCAGTTGCCCATTAAACGTGGATTTTTTAAAGAATACTTTTCAAGGACCAGTTGCCCATTAAACGTGGATTTTTTAAAGAATACTTTTCAAGGACCAGTTGCCCCTTAAACGTGGACTTTTTAAAGAATAGTTTTCAAGGACCAGTTCCCCTTAAACGTGGATTTTTTAAAGAATTATTTTCAAGGACCAGTTGCCCCTTAAACGTGGATTTTTTAAAGAATTATTTTCAAGGACCCTTTAAACGTGGATTTTTTAAAGAATTATTTTCAAGGACCCCTTAAACGTGGATTTTTTAAAGAATTATTTTCAAGGACCCCTAAACGTGGATTTTTTAAAGAATTATTTTCAAGGACCCCTTAAACGTGGATTTTTTAAAGAATAGTTTTCAAGGACCAGTTGCCCCTTAAACGTGGATTTTTTAAAGAATTATTTTCAAGGACCCCTAAACGTGGATTTTTTAAAGAATTATTTTCAAGGACCCCTTAAACGTGGATTTTTTAAAGAATTATTTTCAAGGACCCCTTAAACGTGGATTTTTTAAAGAATAGTTTTCAAGGACCAGTTGCCCCTTAAACGTGGATTTTTTAAAGAATAGTTTTCAAGGACCAGTTGCCCCTTAAACGTGGATTTTTTAAAGAATTATTTTCAAGGACCCCTAAACGTGGATTTTTTAAAGAATTATTTTCAAGGACCCCTAAACGTGGATTTTTTAAAGAATTATTTTCAAGGACCAGTTGCCCCTTAAACGTGGATTTTTTAAAGAATTATTTTCAAGGACCCCTTAAACGTGGATTTTTTAAAGAATTATTTTCAAGGATCCCTTAAACGTGGATTTTTTAAAGAATAATTTTCAAGGACCTTTAAGCCTGGATTTTTTAAAGAATAATTTTCAAGGACCTTTAAGCCTGGATTTTATAAAGAATAATTTTCAAGGACCTTTGAGCCTGGATTTTTTAAAGAATACTTTTCAAGGACCTTTAAGCGTGGATTTTTTAAAGAATAATTTTTAAGGACCTTTAAGCGTGGATTTTTTAAAGAATAATTTTCAAGGACTCCTTAAACGTGGATTTTTTAAAGAATAATTTTCAAGGACTCCTTAAACGTGGATTTTGTAAAGAATAATTTTCAAGGACTCCTTAAACGTGGATTTTTTAAAGAATACTTTTCAAAGACCAGTTGTTCCTTAAACGTGAAATTTGTAAAGAATAATTTTTGAGGACCTTAAACGTGGAATTTTTAAAGAATACTTTTCAAAGACCAGTTGTTCCTTAAACGTGGAATTTGTAAAGAATAATTTTTGAGGACCCTAAACGTGGATTTTTTAAAGAATACTTTTCAAAGACCAGTTGTTCCTTAAACGTGGAATTTGTAAAGAATAATTTTTGAGGACCTTAAACGTGGATTTTTTAAAGAATACTTTTCGTTGCCCCTTAAACGTGGATTTTTTTAAGAATAAAGAACCCTTAAACGTGGATTTTTTTTAAGAATAAGGAACCCTTAAACATGGATTTTTTAAAGAAGTATTTTCAAGGACCCCTTAAACGTGAATTTTTTTAAGAATAAGGAACCCTTAAACGTGGATTTTTTTAAGAATAAGGAACCCTTTAAACGTGGATTTTTTTAAGAATAAGGAACCCTTAAACGTGAATTTTTTTAAGAATAAGGAACCCTTAAACGTGGATTTTTTTAAGAATAAGGAACCCTTAAACGTGGATTTTTTTAAGAATAAGGAAAACTTAAACGTGGATTTTTTGGAATGGCCAAGAACCTGATACAAATTTGTGATAAACCTCTAGGCTCAAGGTTACTCGACGACCTGCACAAGGCCTTAGAAGTAGATTTACATTTTGGCCCTATCTAATCTAGCCCTTAACACTTAAATACCAACATTTCTTGGAATTTTGGACATGCACAAATAAACATAAATTACTGTCTACACACACACATACAAGTTTACATATGTACTTCCATCTGGTATATGTCTCGTTTCATTTGTCTCGAGCATGAATGACAAAAAATTTTTGGCCTGTAACCTTATCTGGCGTGTCGAATATTTGTTCTTCTTTTTCTTTGGCTACTGTCTAATTAAATAATGAAATGAGATGAGATGCGAGCGATGGTCGTCTTTATCTTCCCACATGTGTTTTATAATTCATTTTGTCTAATGGAAATTTTTTTCGGAATTAGAATTTCTATTTCAGTTGGATATCTTATTCTCGACTTCCATCATTTTGCCGTGGAGATAATTCCAAATGACGTCGGTGGTGATGGTGATAAAATTATCGCCTCATGTGTCAAATGTGTTGGCATTTGTCGACTAAATCGACTGGTGAGGCGAAAAGCGGATAAAATGTTGGCGTTTGAATGTCGCCTTTTGTTTGCATGGCTTGTCACAATTGTGACAGATAAGGAAGCTGGTAATCCTTTGTGAGAAATTTATATATATATTTTTTTCTGACTTGGAAATAGAGCTTAGGGGTCTAATGAAATCATAAATTCAGGCGATGATTTGCGTTTCCCATTGTATCGTGATGTTTTGTTCTATGTATTATCATAAGTCAAGGTTGGAGTTTCACACAAGATAAACGTGCTATGTTATGTTAGAATATATACGTATGTGTGTATGTTGGAGGTCACAGACCTCATTAATGAACCATAAAATCCAAAGAAGGTCATCCATATGCAAAAATCTTATAGGAAGTTGAAAAATATATAGAGAGATATTTTGAACATAGGGTACTCAGAGAAGATCTTCTTTGTAGTCACAGTAAAATTTAGACAGAACATCTACCACTGTAATGTCAAAGATATACACTTTACGGTACCGGTAAGCTATAAAATATATGTTATGCATTTTTGACTCACAAGGTCAAGTAACCAACATTTTATCTTTCCAAGTAATGAATAATGTCTGCACAGAGTGAGTACTCCATACTTCAAAACCTAAGGTGTCTGTTTCAAATTTCTGCACCATCAAACAGAGAAACATCTAGAAAAATGCAAAGGGTTCGTCGACACCCCTCACAAAATTCTTATTTAATTTTTTTGGTAATGATATTAGGAATATCTTGGCACCAGTACAACTTTTTTTAATATGGGCATATCATGGGGAATAGGTACTGTCACCAAGAACCAAATAATGTGTACAAAAATCGATTGTTTTATTATACCCTCAGCCATGTGGCTTGAGAGGGTATATATCATTCGATACGGCCAAAACGTGCCTCATCGAAATAACGGTTTTAAACCCTAGGTCTCTTTATACCAAATAAGTTTCAGGACATTTGAAGTCGATCTAGCGATGTACGTACTTCGGAAGAAAACAGCAACATCAGCAGAGATGGTTCGAAAAGTAAAGAAGCGGCTTAATCGAAATCCGCGTCGCAGTGGCCGAAAAATGACTCGTGAGCTGAACATATCGCAATATTTCATTCGGCAAATATTGAAAAATAAGCTCGGGGTAAAGCCATTAAAATTCCAAAAATTGCAAGAACTTACACCGCAACTGAAAGAAAATAGACTGCTTCGCTTGGGCGAAAGTGGTGAACTGCCGAATTTGGTTTTTGGTTTTCTCCGATGAGAAAACATTCGTTGTCCAGTGAACTAACAAAATGATCGTGTTTACTTGCCAAAGAGGTCAGGCGAAAATGTGCACGTTCGGTTGGCCACAAGAAAAAAAAGAACTCAAGCGCCGGCCATGGTGATAGTGTGGGCCGCACATAACAGCCGATGGTCGCTCTCCGCTCGTATTAATCGATCGTGGCGTCAGAATAAATGTCGAATATTATCGCGAAAATATTCTGGAGTGTGTATTAAAACCTTGGGCACGCAAACATTTTGGCCGCAGACTAGGACATTCCAAGAGGACTCAGCACCTTCGCACTCAGCAGGCGCCACCCAAGAACAGTTACAAAATGAGGTTCCCGCTTAATTTCCAGCGCACAATGGCCACCCAAATCTCCGGATACCAATCCGTTGGATTATTGTGTCTGGAGTATTTTGGATAGCAAGGTTGGCACTAAAAAATACCAAGTGTCAATCACCTCAAGCAAGCGCTTCGGCGGGAATGGGCCAAAATACCGCAGAGCAATATTCGGGCAGCGAGGGACGGCTTCATTGGCCCTTTGAAGGCCATAATTCGTTCCAAAGTTGACCAATTCGAACAAATCTAAACTTATTCTAAAATTTGATGCTATTTCCAAATTTTTTTGCTTTCATGTAATGTAACAATTATGGCGTTTGACTTTGTTGCAGTTTTTTTTATCTCACCCTGTAAAGGTGATTTTAGAAATGTGTTCCATAATTGTACGAAAAGTACTAAATGCTACTAAATTGGGTATTCGGTGAAGGGATAGAGATACAATTCTGAAACTTGCTATATACATTACTGTTGGTATCTGTCTTTGAGATTTCGCTGTGATTTGGAAATATCTCCTATATTTGTACGAAAAGTACTAAATGGTACTGTATTTGGTACAATTTGGAATTGGGTGAAGGGATGGGGCTGGAAACCTCAAATTTGATATTGTGGTCATTTTTGATATCTTGAATTAAGATATAGAGGTGATTTTGGAAATGTGTACCATAATTGTACGAAAAGTACTAAATAGAACTAAATTTAGTATTGGGTGAAGGGATAGTGCTGGAATCCTCAAATTTGATATTACGGTCATTGTTGGTATCTGGAATTTTGATATAGAGGCCGGTTTGGAAATGTGTACTGCAATTGTGCGAAAAGTACAAAAAGTACTAAATTTGGTATTACATAAAGAGATAGGGCTGAAATCTTGAAATTTGATATATATGTCCTTGTTGATATCTGATAAATTCCATATTTCCATAAGATCTCTGGCTGAGGGAAATATTTAGATAAATCAAGTTTTAAACCAGTAAAGAAAGACTTAAAGTCGGGCGGGGCCGACTTTATGATACCCTACACCACTTTGCTAATTTAGTATTGCTCCACATAACAATTCAAAAGTTTTTATGGGAGAATTAAATCATACACGCTATGATTATAATTATAATTTAAAGTTCAAAGGACTAAATATGCCGAAGCATTTGTATCTTTTAAATTCGGAATTGTATTGCCCATTTGGTGCACAATTAATTTGAAATCGGAAAAAGATATATATGGGAGCTATATCCAAATCTGAACCGATCTCGATAAAATTTAGCAAAGATATTTCTGAGCTGTATTTGATATATTTCCCTGAATATCATTGTTACGGAGTGCATATTACGGTTGTGGGTAACAAATATAACAAATCGGATGAATAATAAATATGGAAGCTATAGCTATATCTAGACCGATCTTCACCAAATTTGACATACTAGCTTCTAGACTCAATTCGGTCGTAAGTGCCAAATTCCGTCCCATTTAGACAAATATTAGACGTTTGGTGCATAATAAAAGGTAAATCGGACGAAGTTATATATGGGAGATATATCCAAATCTGAACCGATCTCGATAAAATTTAGCAAATGTATTTCTGAGCTGTATTTGATATATTTCTCCAAATATTGTTGTTGCAGAGTGTATATTACGGCTGCGGAGGGCAAAAATAACAAATCGGATGAACAATATATATGGGAGCTATAGCTAAATCTGAACCGATTTCGATCAAATTTGGCATACTTATTTTCTGGCCTAATTTGGGTGCATATGCAAAATTCCATACAATTCAGGCTGATATTTTTGGTGCACAATAAAAGGCAAATCGGACGAAGATATATATGGGAGATATATCTAAATTTTGACCGATTATCTCCAATTTCAATATGGTTCGTCCTTGGACCAAACAAATGATCTGTGCAAAATTTCATCTGGATCGGGCAATAAATGCGACCTGTACTTTGTTTACAAAAATACATGGACAGACGGACGGACGGACATGCATAAATCGACTCAGAATGTGATTCTATGCAGATCATCAAAAGGAGCTATGGGCCTATCCTTTTTTTCTTTTTGCCTGTTACAAACAAATGCACAAAGACATAATACCCTGACCACCTTGTGGTGTAGGGTATAAAAAATTGTTGATTTGATTCGCATGTAATGAGGGATATAATTATTCAAAATGTTGACCCTTTGTGTGGGAGGTATCAGAAGTAGTATTCCATCTTCACAGTAGATCTTGTGTCAGTAAAAATGTTAGGATGTTTAAAATATGAAGAGAATCGGATGCTTATATCGCATTTTATTGTCGTTTTGGTTATTAAAATTTTCGTCCCTTTGTAGGAGAGGTACTAGAAGGAGTGGACCGATATCTACCATCCTCACATCAGATCTTGCGTTCATAGAAATATTGGGATGTGTCGAGTTTGAAAGGCATCGGATGCTTATTTCGCGTTTTACGAGCTTCATGGCTATTCCAAATTTTGAACCGTTGTGGAGAAGGTGCCAGAAGAAGAATACCGAATATCGTACATTCACACCAGATCTTGTGTTAGTAAATATATTGGAATGTGTGAAATTTGAAGGCAATCGGATTCTTATTTCACATTTTATATGAGTAATAAATATTCCAAATGTTGACACTTTATGGGTGAGGTACTTGATGGAGTGGTTCGATATTGTTCATTTTCGTACCTCACCTAGCACCGAAAACATATTGGAATTTGCAAAGTTTGTACGAAATCGAATGACTATTTCTCTTTCTATGAGTACATTATTTTCTATATAATTTTTCACCTTTTGTGGGGGAGCTATTAGAAGGAGTAGACCGATGTTGCCCATCTCCGAAGTCGATCTTAGTTTGCAACATCTAGATCGACTCCAAATGTTCTGAAACGGATTTGGTCCAAAGAGACCTAGGCTGTAAAATCATTATTTCGATGAGGAACGTTTTGGCCATTCCAAATAATATATTTTCGTTTTGGTCATATGGTTGAGGGTGTAAGAAGGCGGAGAAGAGCCCTAAAACACATTTTACACACAGATGGCATGGTTGGTATATTATATAATTAGCTTTTTTCATAAATTATTTTTCATTTTTCAGGATTTAAATTTCATTTCCAACTAAAATCCCATAACTACAAAGCATTATCGCTTTAAGCATTCATTCTAACGAATTTTAACAACAACAAAGTCTCAAAAGAACACCTTTCTCAGAATATTCGTTTTCTCTTGCTCTCTCTCTCTCTTTGCTTTGAGATATTTCAAGTGCATTTTGCCATTATGATCTCTCTCTCTCTCTCTCACTTCAAATTCCCTGCAATATTCTTTTCAAGTGGTGTATTATTTTTTTTGTCTGCTTTTCAAGCCAGCCAGCGCATTCAAACATCATGATGCTCTTCTTCTTCTTCTTCTTCGTCCGCATTCTAACTCAATTATACTTTAATGCTCACACAATGGAATGGACGCGAAGTAAAACTGAAACGAAAAAAAAAAACAACAAAAATAAAAACAAATTAAATTGATTGTCCCGA